TGATGAGAACTTACACTGAGAGTATACCCTGTCTTGCTTGCAGCCTCTTGGTGTGATCTTCTACACGCTGTCTGGCGGACTCAAGGCCACTTTCCTGGCCAGCTACGTCCACAGTATTGTCAGTAAGTTCCGCCACAGTCCTTGAGCTCCTCGTGCGCCGATGCCGCTAATTCCGATATTCTCCAGCTCAGAAGTCTAGTCCATCTCTGGCTTTCGGGTTTGGCAACGATTCAAGCTGAGTCAAAAGACAGTAAAAATCTCGGCCTCTTCAACTTTACAACTTACTGCAACACTGGCAAATAACTTACTGGTGCTCAACCTCAAGCTGCAGGCTAACGGGTGTCTCGTCCCCTCTATTGCAGTCCACATCGCGCTGATGATGTTCATCTGGATCGTGTATGCCACTGACTCCGACCTGGGCAGCCCGAAAGCGGTGTATCACGCGCTCAAGGCGGTCGCCAGCAAGGAACGCGTCTGCACCGGCATTCCCGACGGCCAAAAGTGCGGCCCAATCGCCGGCAACTACAAGGGCTCCTACGTCACCATGCTCTCCAATGGAGGCCTCGTGAGTGGCCAACAAAAAGAGAATAAGCAAGGCTTGGCTTGTGTCATTAAAGGACTTCCCTAACGTTGCTCAATTGGACCCATTCGAACGGACCAGTGAAGTCAGTCTCACGGTAGCGCTTTCTCTGTGGCTGCCGGATTCTGTGCACGAGGAGCCCTCCCTCGCATGGTTGGGGACCGTTGTATTACGTGCACTGGGCTTTACGTATTGTCTTGGTAACATGATAATAATCATCTCGTGCAGATTTTCGGAGTCATCAACATTGTCGGCAACTTCGGAACGGTGTTCGTTGACAACGGCTACTGGCAGTCTGCCATCGCTGCGCGCCCCTCCTCTTCCCACAAGGGTTACCTGGTACGCTCGCCTCGACCTCTTTCATCCTTTTTCTTTATATCTCTTGCTATTCGGAGCTCTTCTTAGCGAGGCCTCCCTCATGCGCAAGCCTCTGTCTTGCACCATTTGACGAACTGGCTCCCTCTCTTTCTCGTAAGAACACCTACTCGACACCCGACTCTCCCCGCACTGAATGGTTGAGTATGTGGCTTAATACACCCCTGCATTGGAAGCCGTTTTTTGGGAGAACGGTGTTCCTGTGAATTTCTGACACGTGTTCCGTTTTCGTGTTTGCTGCAGCTGGGCGGTCTCGTCTGGTTCGCGGTGCCCTTCTCCCTGGCGTCCTCCCTGGGCCTCGCCGCTGTTGCGCTCGACCTCCCCCTCACAAGCAGCGAAGCCGGCTCTGGCCTGGTGCCCCCCGCGGCGGCGACCCACATGCTGGGCAAGAGTGGGGCGGGCCTCTTGCTGGTTATGCTCTTCATGTGAGCCTCGCCGTTCCCTGCAACCGTCTGGGAGCATGACTGACGCTTCTGGTTGAAATGACTGACCAGTGGTTCACCATTGTACTCATCATACTACGTGATATCGTAATCGTACAGCTAAGCCGACTACGTTTCAGCCTGTTTTCAACTGCTCTTACACGTCTTGGCTCCATTCTGTGCCGTCCGCTCCATGGATATCTCCAAGAGGAGCCGCCGAGTTGCCTCGAATCTTTCTCACTAGCCCCCATATTCTCTTCCGGACTGGCTCCGAGCTCGGCTGCCCTACCTCGAAGAAACGCAATCCGAACTTAATGGCTGTTTTTCCCCGTATCTTGCAGGGCTGTCACGTCTGCCGGCTCTGCAGAGTTGATTGCTGTCAGTTCTCTCATCACGTACGACATTTACCGCACCTACATCAACCCCAAGGCCACCGGCAAGCAGATCCTGGCGTGCTCGCGCTACTGCGTCCTCGGCTTTGGGCTGTTCATGGGAGTGCTCGCCATCGCGCTGCAAAAGGCCGGCGTCAGCCTCGGCTGGATGTGAGGCGCACTCCCTCAACCCCGCTCTGCCCCAGACTTTTTTTGGGGTACATCTGGTCGAGCGACGGCCTCCTGCTCTCTTCTCGCCCTTAGTCGTCTGATCGTAGCCCTCGAGCTTTTATGTTTGTATCCGGACACACAACTTGCTCTCTGCTGCAAGCTTCCGAATTCACGACATGCGTGAGATTTTGTGCCCCGTGTGGAAGGGAGCATCAACGATCACTCACTTTGTGTGCCCTGTTTGGAAGTAGCAATGATGTGACTCGCTCGTCGCCCCCTTTCCAGGTACGAGGCCATGGGCTGCTTCATCGGGTCCGCCGTCATCCCGGTCGCCCTGCTGCTGCTGTGGAAGAAGGCCAACGCCATCGGCGCTATGGCGGGCGCTATCATCGGCATGGTCGCCGGTATCATCACCTGGCTCGTCGTGGCCCAGGTCCGTACACGCTCCGCATCTCTTCGCAATTTCTTTGATTCTCTGTGATCTGTCTGTGACTCTCTTTGAGCTTCCGCAATCTTTCTGAGCTTCCCTGCTTGGTTACGCCTTGTAGCATGTTGACGATAATGCTGGCGTAAAATTCCGGCCAATTGTGACAATGTCCAAAGCACTCGTCAATTAGCTTACTTTGGAAGCAAGAGACGGGCTACACTGTGCCTCCGCGATCTGCCTCTTGTGCTGACGTGATCTGTGCGTCGTTTCTCCCCAGGTGCACAACGGCACGCTGGACCTGTACACGACCGGCAAGGACGGCCCCATGCTGTCCGGCAACCTGGTGGCCATCCTGTCGGGCGGCATCATCCACATCGGATGCAGCCTCGTCTGGCCCGAGGTGCGCCCCAAACCCACCCCGCTCTAGATCTCTTCCCCCGCACTGCCGCCTGCCTGCGACGCCTACTGCTGCTGTCTTAATGAACGCTGCGCCATATCTTGGAGACGGCCGCAGCCATTCTGGCGCCAGTTTCCCCTTCCTCGCTCGCGCTCGCGTTACCGCAGTGCTGAATTTCATGTGTTTATCCTCTCTCTGCTGCCAGGACTTCGACTTCGAGGCGACCAAGGCGATCAGCATGGTGGAGAACGACTCCCCGGACCTGCCCGAGGACGAGTACGACCCGGCGCGGCTGAACCACGCCAAGTGGTGGATCATCAAGTGGGGCTGCCTCTTCACGTTCATCATGCTCATCCTGTGGCCCATCGCCACGCTGCCCGCGCGCGAGTTCAACCTCGGCTACTTCACCTTCTGGGGTGAGCATGAACCCCTTCTTTCTGCCGAGGTGCTGCCCTCAAGCGGGAGTCCGATTTATGCGAGATTGATCAGGAGTCCGATATGCGAGATTTGGTTGGGAACCCGATTCTGCGAGATTGGTTGGGAACCCGATTATGCGAGATGGATTGGGAGTCCAGAGTATGCGGGATTGACTGGGAGTTCAATTTATGCGCGAGAATTCGACAAGGCAACGGTTCCTTCAAAGCGAGGGTCAAGTTGATGGCTGCGCTTGGTCTGACCTTACCCTTCGCGTCTAACCCGTCCTGTTTGTGCGACGCCCTTTTAAAACCCCCGTCGGTCCGCTTGCTTTGCAGTGGTGATCGTGCTTGCATGGGGCACCATCGCATCCATTGTGATCATCGTGATGCCGCTGTGGGAGTCGTGGGCGGGCATCAGCATCGTGCTCACCGGCCTCTTCACCTCCGACATCATGTACAAGAAGATCGAGGTCAGCACCCCCGCGCGCAGACCGTAAACCAGCCCGCACCCTCGCGCGATCGTCCAGTCAATAAGGATTGCACAAACTCTTGCGGATTCCTATCAAACAGTGCTTTTGGGGTCGGCAATATTGCTTCTTTGAATTATTTGGTTTTGAAGAAGTCAAAAGAGCATGGGGTCAAAAAGAGGATGGGGGCCGCCGACAGTTGGCTTTAACGTCTTCTATAAGAAGAACCGAAGGTTTTATCCAACTCCGCTTAACTTTGTTCCTACAAGCCGAGTATCCACCTTTGTCTAACAAATAGCTACCTTGTCTTACTACTGTGATTTGAGCCTTGTGTGGACACTGGAGACCCAGGTGAACTAACGTGATTTTGGTGCTGCCCCACAGAATCTGGATGCCAAGATCGACGCCATCCTGCGGTCCAACCCCGAGTACGAGAAGGCCTACACGCACGTCAAGGCCAAGGAGATGTCGCCGCCGCCCAAGGATTAGGCGGAGCGCAGCGGCGCGGAAAAGTCGGTATCAGGGGTTGTGTTCTGAGAACTCACAGGGTACTCGAGACGCGGAAGAGGGGTGCCTCGTTACATTACTAATAGTGTCCCGTAGGTGGTCGTGCATCAGGTACGTAACTTAATCCCAGAGAAACGACGACGCAGTCTTGGTTCCTCAGCGGGAAGCGTTGCCGAGCTCGTGGTAGCAGCTGTCGAGCGGGGGTATTAAAGCACGTACAGGGTCCCAAAACAGTCACGAGTAGCTGTAATGGCTAGCGAAATAAGGAGGCTAAGGCAGATTCAACAGCAGGCTGATGCGGAAAGAGCCCACCTCCACGTGAATCTCGTAAGAGAGACGTTCTGGGTCCGCCGATGGTTTCCCGGCAGCGCTGTCTATCGCTTACATGGAAAACGGAAGCCGTGGGTAGAGCCAAGCAACTAGCACTGGCTAAAGAACTTAGCGTCACGTGTAAGGCCGAAGCTCGACTAAAGCAAATTAGGTTCGAGGGTTGTCCTAACACAACTGTCATTTCATAAGATCGTGGAAAAGGATTTGCTGTCGTTCAGTACCTGTCATATCATGTCATTGGATCATTATGCCTGCGCATGTGCACTCGCTTATCATTCGCAAGATTACAACGTCGAGATTCCTTCTAACGTGAAATTTACATGGCACCGATAATTGCAAGCATGCAGATATGTGAATCTTGTATGGAGACCCCCAAGAGTGTGCCCTAACAATGTATGCGAAGTTGCACGTCATAGTGACCGTCAAACTGTCGGACAGTTGGCTTTTGCTCGAGACAATTGCACCTGCCGCAATGAATCGTTGTGAGGTTCGGGCAGACAATGCAGAATACGATGTGATTATAGAATGACATGCGACCGAGTGTATACATGCTTCAGAAGAAAGTCGGATCGGTAGATGATCAACTGAGTGACTCAAGTCAACAATCTACATGTTGTTTTCAAGCTGCAGAGGCAGTGCACGGGCCGCCCAAGGCTAGATCTATATGTCGAACTCACCGGCTGATCCTCGATTGCTTGCATTAAGTTGCAGTACGGCTGCGCTCACATGCAATCGAGCTATGCTAAGTATGCAGCTATCAACGTACACCAAGCTAAGAACTTAGCTGCGTGATTGATGTCGGCCAGCTCCGTGCATCTCTGACTCCACTAGTGCATTCTGCGGCTCCTTCCACATAATCGTCGATGTAAATCACAGCACGTGCACTTGCAGCCCGTGCATGCGTGGACCCCTCAATTGCGTGCATGAAAGGACCCCTGATATCCCTTGAAAATGTGCTGGGGATCAATTAAGCGCATGGTTCTCTCATCGCCTCACGGTGGGGTCTGAAACTATTATCCACTTTTATAGTCGATCTCCACGACGCGCTTCGTTCCAAGAGAAGCCCACCACTAGCTTGCGTCTGGGTCGTCGGCAATGTCATCCAGCGTGCCCTTCTCGCAGCGCTCGTGGGTGCGGTGCAGATCAATGGCGGCCAGCGCCTGGTTGCGCGTGTTGCCCGCGGCGTTGCTCTTGTACACGGCCGCGCTCACCGCCAGCTGCAGCTGCGCAATTACCTCCGGATGCACGCGGCCCCGCGCCAGTGCAGTCGCCTGGAAACATAGCGAAAAGAAAAGATATGCTCTCCGCACGCAGGAGTCAAGGCCGCCACAAGGGATGTATGATACTGGTGCACTGTTGCTGCAGTTAGAGGCTCGTCCTGAGAGTTGAGTGTTAAGTACAGCAGAACGAGTCGCTACTAACGGTACACATTTGCTAAACCGATGCCAGTCAAGAGCCTACAATGGGGATCTTGTGCCAGAGACGTTGTGGGACTCTTGCGCGGAGCTGCGAATTGAACTGCTTCCAAGTACGAGCGCCGAGCCCAACGTTCAGGCCAGGCAAGTTGGCACGTTTCAATCTCAAGTAGTCCACTGCTGAGGACAGTGCCAGCGCCGGGCGCGGGGCTGCCTGACCTTCTCGATGCGTGACACGATTGGGCCGCCGTTGTTAGTGGGCATGTGCTTGATCGAGCTCAGCATGCGCACCCACTCCGGCGAGTCCGCATCGTCAGCGTGCTCGCGCTCTGCGTCCTCCTGCATCACCGCACGTGCAGCGGGCGTCATTGAACGTCACCGTGCATCAAGCCGTCGTCTTATGTACCCCGAGTTTATCGAAGCAGTAGCAAAATCCGACGGACTCAAGGCAGGCCGGAGCCGGTCCCAATGAGAGGAGGCACAATGCCGCATATTCTCGTGTGCGATTCTGATGAAAATAGAATGGTGCACGCCGATGTCAAGTCGACAAATCTGTGGCTTGCCCGACGAACCATGCCCGAAGCAGGCGAGGATCCCCTTACAAAATCAACAACCGGGCCGTCACCGCACGGCATAGGTGCTCTTTCAAGACTTCGAGATCTTCTTGAAGATGCATGTTGCCTCGCTGAACGATGATCCTACCACGAGGATCCCCACCCGCCCAGCTGAACGGGTGAGAATGTGAATTGAACAAAAACGCTTTGCCAATATAACGGCGGAGGCATCATCATGGCCTTTTGCATGAGAAACAGTTTGCCATGACGGCTGTGCTCGCCCAAATCGCTTTCGCCAAGACATGAGCGGCTCATGCAGGAGCCCCACTGTAAGACGGTCTGGCTGCCCAAGTTCAATGAAGATCGCGTCTGCCGGCCCACACGGGACCTCCGCTCACCTCGCGTTTCCTGCGGTCCCTCTCCCGCCTCTCCCGCTGCCGCTCCATCTCGACCCGCTTCGCCTCGTCTCGTTCTCTTTGCCGCTGCCGCCTCTTCCGCTCACTTGCGGCCGTCGGGCTCTCGCTCGCCGCACCCCTCCCCCCCGCCTCGCTCTGGTTATCCCCTCGCAGCGCTCGGCACCTGTCACACACGATGCGCTGCATGCCGCCCGCCTTGTCTGGCGATTGAGGGTCCAGGTGTCCCTGCCTGTGCTGCTCGCAGTACGAATTGGAACACGTGGCGCACTCTGATTGAACGGGCTCCGAGCAGCGGTCGCTGGCGCAGGCGTGGCGGGGGCAGCACCAGAAAGAGTCCTCAGAAGTCGGGGCCTGGGAAGGAAAATATGAAAATTCAAGCGGGCAGAAGTGCACCGAAGCACACGGAGAAAGGACAACTCCGACAAAGTCAATTGGTCGACTTTCATGTCGCGAAAAAATGAAAGCTTGCGCCCTTCTTGTAACGATCCCGTCCGTTGATGGCTTTACTCCCTCGATCACGTTCAATCCAGCTTAAGCACGCCAGCTTATAGGGCGAAACCTACTCGACCTACACATCGATGCACACCCCTCATTTCCGTAAGCTTGAATATTGTCCTGCTTCGTGCACTTTGAAAAAAAGCAATCGACTGCCAGCTTCTTAAAAGGACCCCCTCGTCAAAGGTTGACTGCCAGTCTCCTCTCCAAAAGGCTGCCACGCAATTGCTCACCCGCGTCCCCAGGCATGCCACGTGGTATGCCTTCCAGCAGGGTGCTCCCCCCTCCCGATGCCCCTCTTGGCAGCACAGCAGGTCCCCCCCGTCCTTGCACAGAAAGCAGCGCTCCTCCCAGTCTTTCCGCGCCGCCGCCTGCTCCTCAATCGCCGCCAGGAGCCGCTCGTACTGCAGGTGATACGCGCGCAGCACAGCAGCGGGGTCCCGCGCTGCCAGGGCCGCCTGCATCAGTGCATGCTCCCTGCAGGAGCGGAAGCGGTAACGTATCTCCCTCCATTCTAGTCTGCCTCCCTTCGCTTCTCCGATGCTCAGGACCGCACTCTTGATGGCCCAGATAGGGGAGGACGAAAGACCGGGAGAGCCGACAAGAACTTTCGACGAGAGAATGCCGACCTCAAATTGTCAAAGTCGGTGACGATTCTGGGTCCGCCGACAGAGAAACCAAGCAACAATGTAACGACTTCCCTAGGTGGCTCTTGCATAGAATCTTTCAAAAATTGATGGGTCAAATGCATGATTCTTCAAGACTTCGACACAATCCTTGCTGCGATCCAACTCAACTGCCGGCTCCGCTCTCTTGTTTGCCTCACCTGGCCAGCGCCTCTTCGTTGGTCTCCTCCTCCACCTCCTCCCTCGGCTCGTCGTCCTCTGAATCATCCCCACCTGTATCCCCCGCACCTCCTTTCAGCCCCTCTCCCGCTGCGCTGCCCGGCCGGATCTGCGAAGAAGCCAAATCTTGGTTGAAAACTAACCGCACAAAGCTAGGACTGTGCGTAAGTGGACGACATGTAAGTGGATGCATGGGCGTCCTTCTGAGACGCGTGCTTGCCCCATCAACTTCAACGGCACTGTCACTGATTTAAAGAGCGGCTTGACAGCGAGATCTGGAGAAGAGGCGCACAAGTACGGACCTGTGCCGATTTGTGGAGCTCAGGGGGCGGGGACAGCTCCCGTCCCTTCCAGCCGTACTTGTAGTAGCGCGGGCGCAGCTTGCTGTGCCAGAAGCTCTTGACCATCTTGCCAGTCCTGGCAGAGGCGGCAGGGGGAGGGTGTCAGGGGACAGGCAGAGTTTCAGGGACATGGAAGAGATGGTGGAAAGGTGAAGGGCCAGAGGGGACGCTGTAGAGGGGTTGCCGAGAAGCAGGTCAACCCGTCCGTTATTGCGATGGCTAAAGAGTTGGTGGACGCCAAGTATGACGATGGGGGAAGCAGATCCAAGTGGATGGTTGCTTTGGGAAAACAAGTCCAGGCCGCAATCGGCACCCTCTGTCAAACAGCCACGCTGGACTCATTCTCTTGTCAGCGACACCCACAAGGTTCCTGCTATGACGTCAGTCATTGTCGACCTTGCCAACGGGACAAACGCTGCCACAGCGCCCTGTTCCAAACGCGTTTCACAACACACCATTCTAATAGACTGAGTTGGCCCCAGTCAAGACAAGATTCTCAGATGCAACAGTTTAAAGCACAAACAGAGCTTTCTCGAACCATAGAGTACCCACAGTGTCACCCCAGCCTCACCGTCCCGGCAGGAACTTGGCGACGTCGGTCCAGCAGTTGCCGAGGATGTAGCGGCCCACGAGCACCAGCATGGCCTCCTCCTCCGAGAAGGGCATGCTCTGCAGGTCCACGTGCTCCCACTGCGCCGCGCGCTGGATCAGCTGCGCAGACAGCTGCTCCTTCCACCCCCCCGCGCTGGAGCCTGAAGAGAGATCAAAACAACGGCTTGAGAGAGCACTATTATGTCTGCCTTGATTGACTTGATTGCAGAGGGGGATTGCGCCAAGCCATGCTTGGCTGCAGTTGTCAGATGGTAGCCTTCTAGATTGAGCCAGAAACATTTTCAACACCAGTTGGGGGCCAAGTTGATCTGCAGGCGACACAAAAAGACTTCAGGGAGTGGCTTGCACTTTTCCCGCTCACCACCATAGTGCGACTTTGCTTTCTCAATGAAAGTGACAGCTTCCACCGCCGGCTTCAGGTCACTGGGCTTTCCAGTGACCGGCGGGCTTCTGAAGCCCGACCCCGCCCGCTGCAAAGGTCTGCCGGCAGGGGACTGGGACAGAACTCGCGACCGCACTGACTCTGGCGGTTCTGTGAGAAGCTTGACGCCCGCCGAATCCTTGTTGACCTTGGCTGACGCCACCCTTTCAAACACCGCCGCATTCTTCCCAGCCTGGGGCAGGGAAGTGTGATCTTCAGATTGGAAGATGGGAGTTCCTGACGGGAGCAGCAGGCTCGCTGGCACGGGCTGTGGCTCGTAGAGAAAGCTCCCGTAGTAGGCGGTCCCTGCATCCTGGTGCTGGCGCAGCTCGTCCAGCAAGTGGTTGTAGAAGAGCGGGTCAATCAGATCAGAGGCGCCGCGCTTCAACTTGCTCTTTGCAATTGGGCGGGAAGCGCTGGGAGGAAGCGGAGACGCCGCCGCCATCTTGAAAGGTGATCCTCCTTACTGCATTGATTGGCCTTCGAAAGGCGCCTCCAGGCAGCTATTAGTGTTTCAACTTTCTAACCACGTTGTTGTCCAACTTTCATTTCTTTTGGTGAATGGGAAGCGGTCAGCCCTCAGGCCCCAGGGCGATCCTCTTGGGTTATGGGCCGGGTTAGCCATGGCTGGATCCAAATAGTGGTTCTCATCACGCGTTCAGCTCGCTAACCCGGGGTTAAGGAGATTGTTCCAGGACCCCAGCACACCACAAATTCAATCACAAGGAAATGATGCCCAGGACTATCCCAATGATGGGTGGAGGACATAGAAACTGAAGGGGAAGGCAAGGGGCGAGGGCGCAACTTGTTGGAAGGCTATTCGGCTGAAAAGCGCCCAATGGCTCTTCTTTCCTGCAACGCTGCATGCTGTGCAGGACCTCGCTGTTTAGCGACGGGAGCTACGGCACAACCCACAAAGAAGCGGCTCCAGATAGTCGGTGTTGATCTGCTGCATCGAACAAGATTGAGAGAGGGCGTACCTCCAATCTTCAGTCTCACATTCCATCATTCTGTGTTTCCATCAAGCATAACACGCCATTTTCAGCAGAGTAGTAGCTCGGCGCCCTCACATCAGGCGAGGCGGGGGTTTTCTTGTAGAGCTGCAGGGAATGGAACCGAGAGAAGACCGGAATACAGGTCAGTGGAGTCCTCAATCAGATTGGCGCGAGTGACAGAGCTGACCACTGAAACTTTGAAATGAAAGCTGGACAATGTGGCGCCCGCTTCCTACATTGATTTGATTGTTTGCATGATGCATCAAAGTGCACAACCTTCTCTTGGCAGCAGTGAACCGCGCCTTACACCATCTGAGAATGGGATACTGTCTACGTAAGCCGTCTAATATAGACAATTCTTAACATGTTCACGGGGTTGAATGATGCTTACATTCAAAAGTGGTTTGATCGTCTCACTTTACTTTGTGCTTTTTGCAGCAAAGATGCTCGGGCACGAGCAGAGGTTCTTTCCCCCTTTCGAACAGTCCGGCAGTTCTTCTATATAGCATTTATGGCCTCTGGGGGTTTAGGGACTTTGATCACATTGAGCAAGGTCGCAGCAAGTCTTAGTGGGATTGACAACGGGGTCCCGCTTGAGTCCATGTTGAAAGACCTGGGCATTGATATCGCCGCGGTTGCCGTCTTCGCTTTCCTGTATTCTCAGGATGCAAAGGCCAAGAACGCCCAGCTAGCGCGTTTAGGGCGGGAGGAGAGTCTGGGCAACCTCAGACTTGAGTTGACAAACAAACAGACCGTGACCGCGAGTAGTCTACGAGGGAGGGCCCGCCTGATCATTGTGGCGGGTCCTCCGGGCCACATAGAAGCAGTGCTTGAATCAGCCAAGCCGTTCAAAGATCGGTTAGTCGAAAGGGGCTGCTTGGTTGTGCCGCTAGTGACGGAAGAAGCCAAGGGGGCCAAGTCCAGCGAGGCGGCTGCGTCATCCGAGGGGGCCTTAACAGAGTCGTCCAGCCCGTCGCCGCCTGCCGAGTACAAGGTCAACATCGAGACAGAGCGGCGGTGGAAGGCTGCACCGCTCTACACAAACGAATGGAGAAAGTGAGACCAAACTCATTCGGCCGCTGTCATGTCAGTGTGCTATTGTATAGTTGCCACGCGCTTCTTTCCAAACGCGATGACTAGTCATCTCGGCCATCAAGAATCAACTTCTCCATCTGCATATGTATCACTCTCTTTCTGTCCACTACTGTGAGAATTTCTGAGGTAAGCGAAAGTGGTATATGTTGTCGTCCAATTCGATATGCAGGACTGCAACCTGGCAGTTCCTCTGGCGGTTTAAGCAGCACTTCTGGTGATGCGTTTGGGACCTTACAGACCTTGCTGTGTTCTTTCCAGGTGGCTCGAACAACAAATGGAACTGGCGAAAGTTGGTATGGGCACCCCCGTGTAAGTTCTTCTGGCTCGTTTTCTTATTTTTGCGTTGTGCTCTTACCTTGAACGAGCCAGTCTCTCTTCAGCTGAACATGTCTAAAAACGGTGGACTAGCAGAGTGCCTCTGAGATAACTTGCTGTTTGGTGTCCTGCGAACATCGGCTGTCCTTCGAAGACTCCCATGCACGATCTGGTTTCGGCAGGTATATTCCACTTCCACTTCTATTGGCTATCCTGTGAAGATTCTCATCCACGTTCTGGCTCCTGCAGATACATTTCACTTCGTTTAGATGGTCGGGTGAGGGCCTCCGGCCTTGGCATCCCTCCCTGGCCAATCATTGTCGCCCAGCTTGGTCCGATGACAGGAAGCTCCTTCATGGATGGATTCGATGGAGCCGTTTAGAATAGTAAGCGGTTGTTGAGGACTCCGAGCAGCCTTTGTTTTCCGCGTTGTTGCATTTCTGCTTCGAGAACAAGCCGCACCGGCAGTCTACATACAGGCGCGGCCGCTGATGATTTGAAGCCGTTAAACAATCTTTTCGATGAAAGCGTTTGCCAACGCATCATCATGCAGTATATTAACGTGACCGCACTGCACGCCTTGCACCCTGGGTTCTCGTGTCCGCTGGGCCCGGACGACTCATAAGCAGCTAGTTGGCTTGATTATCGCGCGGCGAGCTTAGAAGTGGCCCAATCTGTGTCATCTCTTGACAAGACTCAAAGCTGCTGCAAGTCCTTTAATGCACCAACACGGCTTCTAGAATTGTCTGTTATATGGTCTTCAGTCGTGAACTATCTTTAAGATAGCTCAAGATAGCTGACGTGCTAGCATGGTTGATTCACCTAGCTCTCTAGGCTTAAATCCGACCCGGCACGTTTCTTGAGTTGTGTGTATATAAACCCATCAATGGAAATGATACCGCGTAGATTATAACGCATCAATCAAGGCATGCGGCCCACTGGCTCGTGCAGCGTACATCAACATATGCACATGCTATATGGGCGGCTCGGCCATGCGCCTGCATGGCATGATATGTATATGCATGATTGGACAAGTGACGATTTTATTATCGACCAGTCCTGCTTGATTAAGTATGGGGATTAGCATCAGGATCCTTCTGGACATCCGAAACAAAGATTCATTTGAGGACCAACAAGCTAGAGACGCAGGCAGGCAATGCGTAGTGTAGCCCGGTCATACTGCTCTTAGTAGGAAAACGAAAACGAATTCTATTTAGAACGTACAGGGAACCACTACTAGATAGCTTAGGATGGATAAGTATGTGTGAAAGGTTCCAAAAATGAACGTCCGTTGGCATATTTTTACAGTATGTACACAGGGCAACTGCTTAATCCTGCTAGTGTGCAGCATATGGGTTACTAATCTAATTGCACAGAGCAGCACCTCCTTTTAAGTCGACCGCTTGTTTCAAGCGATATATGTCCCAACGCTCGAATCGGCAATCGTTTTCGTATGTCCCCTGAAAGATTTGATAGAGATCAAACGCAGGATATGTTGCCTTTCAGCTTTCTATATGTACAGTATCTGCACAAAACTACGGCGATCTCATCCTTGTTGTAGTGAGAATTTAGGCACCCCCATAAAGTACGCCAGCAGATGTTGTATGCTTGTCCAGCTTCGTCCAATTAGGTCGAATGGAAGTTGTGTCGGAAAGCTCTCACTTGGGTGCGAGTCTGAGAAAGCAACAACCTCGTAGGTGGCAAGTAGGCTGTCGTCGAGGCTAAGATTGTCAGGGTGGAACTCCGGTACAAAGTTCTCTGGTTGCTGGCTCACTGGAAGTGGGGGACAGGCTGAGGTGCCCGCTTTATGAATCTGCATACGGATGACAAGACCGACTTATCATGTGATACTACGGCCTAAGCTGGACATAGATGTGCTGTATCATTGGGTAAGCAGGACATTGATCTGCTGGAGTCCTCCATGAGTGCCTCAAGTCATCCAGACAATTGACGGCTTACAAAGCCTTCTTTGACTTCAAATAGCCCGGATACCAGAACTTACCCTGTGCACGTTTGGAGCTGGAGCAAAGAACTTCTCGTACACGGAGGTCACTATGTCTGCCACTGTTCCAAGGCTAGACTCTGCAGACGACAAGCGGGGCGTGTTTTCTTAATCAAGGCATGGGCAATAAGTGTTATTTGAGCAGAGTAGCGAAGGGGCAGAAATTGTCACCAGGATCGCATCTGTTGTGAATGCTGAAAGTGCAGTCTATTACGGCTGCTCAGCATGCTGTCAGCTGCTGAGGTCGCATTGTCTTATCAGTACCTATGATGAGCAAGTTGCATAAGTTGATGCTTCTCAGAAACTTGTTGGTCTGCACGGAAGTTGATACCTCACCTGCGGTATTTCTGACAGTCACCAGAGCACATCTTACGAGAAACTCAACTTTCCGTGCACCCTGCTCTACAAAATGCGTGAGCTTGGGGGGATCATGTGCAACTGGCTCTACATTGCCACTGCCTTCTGAAGCGGGGTGTAAGAGCTCAGTAGGAACGTGTACCCTCTTCCGAATGCTCGATTCCATCTTCGACATTTCTCAAACTCTGAAGTTCACGTTCAGAAAACAGAACTGCTGGTTAGTGATGTGAGCTACATCAGGCCAGTACCCTGCTGGCTGCCTCAACGATATCACAAAATCGAATGAAAAGCGAAGTGTCCTCCATTCGCAGTGGACTCGTACGTACTAGAAAACATTGATCCGTCAAGAAGCTGGTACTGAATGAGCATAGCATGCCTTTCTCTAGCAGAGATCGCAATCAGAATGGAAGCCACAGCTTGCCCGTATTGCAGCTGGAAGGCGCCTCAAACTTAAAAGTTTCAGCAAGCTTCAATTTCAAGCCAGTGCCAGCAGGCTCAACGTTTTAATACAATCACCGCCTGACAAAGTTTAGCGGTGCCGTTTTTCAGCCCTAATACAGTATGTCCTGCCAAGCTGCGTTTCTTGGCGACGTTTCAAGTTTCTGAAGACTCTCTAAGTCGCTCATCAGATGTCACTTCCACAAGGAACGCCACTGTACTCTGTCGACTTGGGCGACGCTGCTCTGATTGATTCTGGAAGTTCTGCGGACACTTGGTATCGAAGAATCAGATGCATTGCCAATTGATGTCATTGTCATGTTGCTCAGCTCCCATCGCTAGGTATTTATTTTAGTAGCCCAGAGTCAAAGCAATGCTTTCAAATAGTAAAGTTCCCCTTTCTAATAACCTTTTGCATCACGCCACTGCCGTCGGTTGTTTCAAGGTGAAGATTGACTCAAGCAACCCGCTTCTTCAGGCAAAGCGCACTTTGGGATGATGGGATCGATCACTCGTCCACCAACTCCACCATCAGAAGAGGAGGAAGGTTTGAAAGCGCCGACAATTCAGGATATTGTAAATATGCGGGTGAGTTGGGGTTTTCTGAAATTGCATTTTGCTCACTGGTGTACTGGTGGGAAGATTTTGATCATTGGATGCTAACAACAGAGTGGTTGCTGCTTGTAAGTGGAGACAGGCCATAGCCTTCATTAACAAACTCTCTCGGCAGCCAGAAAGGAGTTGTCTTTGTGTCTTCGTTGTCTTCGTTGTCTTTGTTGTAAGACCCTGGGGACAAGGAGTGCTTCTTATTGAACGCATTCGTTTGAAGTGCTGCTTGGTGGTGGCTACGGGCCACCAATTGTCAGCATGCACTTCATCCATTCCCAGACAGCACGGGCGCCTTCCAACCAGCCCACAGCTCCGCCAGGATTTTCTACACTGGAAGTGTGTAGAGAAAAGTATGATGAGCTGTACATGTCCTCGAAAAACGAGCTTGACTCACTTTGTAAAGCATACATGAACAGGCCACAAGGAGTCTTCACTAAAGTGAGTTCTTGAAGAAAGTCCTTACAGGTGAAGATAAGATTTATCCTCATCGTTTCCTTGTAATGTGCAGCTTATTCAGAGTGGTGAGAAAGAGCGACTCAAGGAGTTGTTACGGGAGCGATTAGTGGAGTGTGGGTGGAAAGACGATTTGATAGCTGATTGTCGGTGAGATCCTCCCAGAATTGAAATGAACTTGAAGTATCTTGTTTAGAGTGGGTTGAGCTTTCATTCGCAACTCTTCTGACAATTCTGGCATTTCTTTGACACAAAGCATGCTATGTCGTTCCCTAAGAATTCATTTGTTTTTGTTGCAATGACTGCGGATCCAGAAGGGAGCTCTGTGAAGCCTGTGAATTGGTAGCTTTGGGTCCTGCAAACCTTGAGTCTTCCCGTTGCAGAAAACGCGTGAGAGAAGCTGGCCGTGGGGCTGTAACAATCGACAACCTCGTCAAAACCATTACACCAAAAGGCAGAGGTCAGATCCTTGCCAATGGTGCTTCGAATCTTCTTGCCTTGTTAAGAAGTCTTGTGATCAGCCTTCCTTGCTTGAAACTCTCTATGATCTCTTATCTGGTATCATGCTACTTCTTTTCTCTCCACTGACGTCAAGCTCAATTTGGCTTGCAGCTACCGTACCTGCTAGTGTAAAAGCTGAACTCTTACAGCGGATACGAAGTTTCTTAGATGAGACATAGTTGTTCAGGACAAAGCCGTTCTGAATTCGCTTAAGCAGCCGATCTTTCAATGGTGAGAATTCAACAGCATGAGCCGTCTGGTGCACCTCTCATTGTGTCTGTGGCAGATCTAGGCTGATAACATACCAATGACAGTCACGTTTCTCTCAGTGAATGATCTGATGTTTGGAGTAAGATAGTGGATCATGGCCAGATCATTTACTCATCCACCCTCTGCGGCCCGTGGAAAAAGGTCAATTTGCGGTATATCTACGAGTGAGCGATTGGACTTCGTCTTGCTGCACCTCGGCCCGCGCTTAGTACAAACATCATTGTACCAAGGATCTCATGCGTCACGCAGCCATCGGAATCCTAGTCGAGCCATCACCATACAAGATTAGTCCCTGGCTGCAACCGCGAAAGTGGAATTACGTTTCTCTATGTGCACACTGGTTTAACGACAGCATGACTACGTTTTATTCAACTTTGAAAGATATGACGAATGGAGAACGATGACGATTCCATTTTTCCATCACCTCGCCTCCGTAGAATGGGGCCAAGACTTTGATCACGTTGATGTCCGGCCAATTAAGGCCATGATAGGCCCATGGTGGACATGTCCGGAAACCATTCCGTGCTGCATGGTGTGCCTCAGCTGAGCTCATGATTAGCTTGCATCTCGAGCTGCCACCTGTCTCGCTTTGAAGCAGCTTACTTTGAACGGCGGAGGCAAGCTTCAGCTCTGCACAACTCTACTATTCCGGCTCCAATAGCTAATAAGGGCTCGTAGTTCATAGTTCTGTTACCCAGCCTGTGGAGTCCTGCGGCTTTTTCACGCCCCGTTCTTTCAGGAGCGTTTCTAATTCGTGGACGACCTGTCAAGCGACACGAGATGTTAAGATGGAATCTGCAACGAGCAATCAAGAAAGCGTCGGGGAGCAAGTGCTTGGGGAATGGTGCTGAACAAAGAACAGTCAGAACTCCCACCATTCCTCACCTTTTCAACTAGGCTCGCTGTGCTCATCTCCTCTTCGCCCTCTTCGTACCCTGCCAAGACACAGGACCATGATAAGCTCTCTCTGTTCATGTGAGCCGTGAGATGGACACTGCCCTCCCAGCTGGCCAAGCGAGAAATTTTCGACGCTTTCGTTCTCGAGATCAGAGCGCGAAAGGAAAGGGCTACTCGTAAATGCAAAGTAAGCAGTGAGCAACTCAGAAAGGACCATCACGAAGCAAAGAGCAATGACGCCAAGTAAGACATAACGCACCTGCTATTGAGACTGTTACGTCCGCATTCTCGTAGAAGGCTTTTCTGTCCTTCCAGATGGTTGACAGCCTCGTGAACGCCTGCACGAGAACACAATTGAGTACGTTTGCAAGTCTCAGGGGACTGACAAGTCATCCAGTAAAGACAGAGGCTCGCCATGATACAGCACTTCTCAGCTCGAATTGTTTGCAGTCTATGCCTCCAAGGGTCTCCAAGTGAAGGCAAGCAAGCTTGGAATATTTCGTGGAAGTCAGTGAAAGCCCCTAAAGAGAAGAGCGTAAAGAGCAGGACCTTCGTTTCAGCGCTCTCGTCTGTGGCATCCCCTCCGTTCAGCAGTGGCCTGGACGCATGGCCGTTCTTTGTGACGCGCTTTGCCAGGGTTTGAATAGGCACTTGCAGGAAAATGGAGATGCCGTAGTGCATGCTACTCCTGGGCATGGAAAGAAACGACAACGAAGTCAGAGGCACATCGCGGAAGAAGTGACGAGAAAAGCTATGAGTGCAAAAGCCGATATGCTTGGGCAAACTACCTCTAAAAGCTGACACTTAAAGCACCGGGCGCCCTTCGCATTTCATGACTACTGTAGTGCCATTGGCACCCATTGACCTGACAGACAGGTTGCTTAATGACGGGAGAGCTAATCCAGCACCACGTGCCAGACAAATGTAATAATCTGCCAGCAGTGAACTCCAACTTGCCAAAACCCTCAACCCTTTGAGGCGGGCCATCGAGCACTGGAATTGTGCCCGATATAGCAAAGAGGAAAGCAAAAGAACTTTTCTGAAGGACAACACGACTGAAGGGCTTCGACCTTGCTCACCAGTTCTCTTTTCTCAGCACGGCACCACCTCCTGTGGATATCACGGATCTTGTTTCTCTGGCCAGTTGCGACAAGACTTCAGTCTGCACAGTAGCATGCCAGACTTTCTTAGGCAGTCGAGCTATGTCGTTCATGACCTTTTGCCGAGATTGCTGAGTGCACGAGAGAGGAGGCGCATAGTGCAAAAAGCAGGTCAAGAAAGGTGGAACAGGAACAATCAGGCAAGCGCCATTTGCAACTTCCAGTGACTTGGGTGAACAGGGACGAGCCGACAGCGAAGCACCATCAGAAATCGGCTCCACACCTCAAGCTTTCGAAAGGTGTCCTCTCCGTTCTCCTTGAAAATCTGAGAGACAGGTGCTCCTACAGCACCTTCGATAACTTCGTCACTGCAGCACAATGGAAAAAGGCCATGTCAGAAAGACCACCGCCTAGATTCCGCCCGATTGCTGGCTGCTCGTTCTTTCCCAGATATGGACATGCATTGCAAACAAAGGAGAAACAACCCAGCTTGGGTATCTTAACGGGGGATGCAAGACTTACAAGCTCCTTAAACCACCACCCCGGGTATAACTCGGGGCAAACCGGCTGGCATTCGCGCCAACGGCCACCGAATTTCAAATTTCGGCCCGAAGGCGCTCGCTTCCAGCTTGTGCATTTTTGACCTTATACATCAAAGAAGCTGAAAGCATTACTTCACCATTTTCGGCGGTTTTGCTTTCTAGAGCTCTATCTTGTGGGAAAAACAAGGCCAGGTCGAAACCGCCGCTCAGTTCGTGCAGAAACGGCCTGTTTTTGCGTAGGCAGGGGTACCTTCTTCATGTGTGCGTCCAGTGTGCGCCCGTCGCGAATTTCAAGTTGCGAACTTGATTATGAGCATTCCTGGTTACCAGGAGTATTTATACCTTGGGTGGTGGTTTAAGTGGACGGACTAAGACTGACCATAAATTGAGTTTAGATGATGCAAGCTGGAATTGAGTATGCAAGGAGCCGGCTTCACCAGTCAAAAAACCGGTATTGTAACCGCTCGGCCAGTAGCTTCCCAATTGTGCTTTTGCCGCTGCCCATCATGCCTGCTCCAAGGAGGGTTCAAAGCTCATATCAGTGAGGGAGCATCGATGTCACACGGAATATAGGAGATTACAGGCAGCAAAAAAAATGGAGAATCAGATTCCGAAATCCTGCAGCAAGGCTTCAGTGCGATGGCTCTGCACTTGTGACGCCAGTGATTGATAACAGCCTCCTCAACTCACCTACAAGGTACACATTGACCCCACCCAATGCCTTAGCAACTCCGACTGCTTTCTCCTGCAAGAACACAGTCTGTTTGTATCGCAGCACGGTGTCTGTAGTAATTACTAATAAGTGTCAGAAGATTGTGGGGCTATGAACTGCATCAGAGGCCGATACGAGGGCGCATGCTGCCCCCACTAGCTATCAGCTCACATCAACTCTGAAGTGGTGTCGATTGATCTTGCCTGCACTCTCCGTTCTGACTCCGGCTCCAAGGAATCTCGTCGAGGAGTGGCTGGAAAGAGCAGATTAACAGAAGTCAGACACCTGTCAGCTTCAGACACTTTCAAACATACACAAAGGTGCAGGAGTGTTTCACATCGCCAGCAGCTTGCACGTTATGCAATGCTCCTATCTAGTCAGCACACCAACAACGGAAAGCTGTCTGTTGCAGTCCTGCACCAGGAGAGTGGCATAGGCTCACATACCACTGCATTGCACATCTTTTTTCCTGGACTCTCGGCGCTTGAATCTAGCACAGGCAGCGGGAAGCCTTTGGGCTGATTGCAGCAACCGCAGCTCAAGTTGCTGCCCCGACTCCTTTTGACGTTGACAATTATGCCAGCAATGAGTTCTTGTGGTGCCAGTCTGATGGCTCCAGTTTGCAGCTGGCAATGCTTCTAGAAAACTCCGTTGAAAAGCCGGAGCTTGTGCGACGAGCGCCATCGTCTGCTACAGTACAAAGTGGAGGGTACTTTTGAGGTTAGTTAGGCTTTAAAGAATGACAGACGCAGCTGACGTTGTTTTGTGCAACCTGCAGCTTTATGTTTGATGAACTACCCCCACTTTCTCCGCCCTGAAGCTGTTTTTGCCTAGAGACCTGATCGAGGCTGCGCGACTTGCTAGGAACCGAGGCCCAAGGGCAAGCAAGGGCTTCGTGAGGCGCAAGGGCTTAGTGTGGCGCCGCTGCGCTCGTAGATGGCCGTGCTGATATGCCGACGTGCGCAAGGCTGTATTACACTTGCGCGATCCAAACGATCCGATCGGAGTCCGGACCGAATGGAACTTGCAGGGTAATGGTCAGTGCCCAATTCGCATATCAAGCAAAGCCCAGCAAGTTGCAACCCGTTTCTACCCGTATGAAGGGCCATTAGTGCGCGTGAATGGTTGGAGAATCCAGCTCATGCTCCCATTACAAGTAAATGATGCACTTTCTCTTTGGTGTTGTCAATTTCTACTGCCACCTGGGAGCCTTCCCGGTTCGATCTAGTTTGAAGGCTTCTCTGATCTCATGAGTTCCGCATGGCCGGGGTTGCTGCATTTGCAGGGACCCAGCATCAATCGACACCGTTCGTTCTGCAGTGCTTCATGACGGCGGCCTTGAAGATGCAGCCTGCAAACGCAGGTGTCTGAGCTCCCTTTTGTGCGGCAGTCCCCTGCACTATGAAGTACGGGCGGGGATTGCGGCCACCTTCCAGGTCTAGTGGTCGCGGGTGGCGATGGTGGATCTTCCGCGTGGCGCTCCCTCCCACCTTGATGCTAGTCTTTCTTCTGCAGCCGCTCTTCTACTTTTTGGTGCACCGAGGCTCGCAGCAAGGAGCAGCATCTGCCCAGGGTGATAGTGCAAGAAGTGCGGAATTGCTGAGCTGGGATGCGAGGATCCAAGACTTGGACGAAAGGAGGGGCAATCGGCAAGTTGATGCATGGTCTCAAGGGAAAAGTGTGCAGCAGCTAGACAGCCAGGTGCAGCCCAAGGTCGACAAAGCGGAAATCAGCTCAAAGTTTGATCACCCTAGCTTCGCGAAGCCTGAGGTGGCCGTCGGTTGGCCTCCCTCAAACCTGCTCTCCATACAGATGCTGGAGTTCAATCGCCAGGGGAGGTGGATCCCTGCTGGTCAGGGGCCAGTGAACATCAGCCGTCTAGCTCCTGATGCCATCCCCATCGTGTTGTATGTTCATAACCGGCCGAGCTACCTGCGGGTGGTCTTGGACGCACTGTCTCATGTCCATGGAATTGAGGAGACGGTGCTCATCGTGAGCCATGACGGATACTATCCCGAGGTGGCGGACATCGTGGGAGAGATCACCTTCACCAGAGTCAAGCAGGTAAGAGCTGCGGTGGTGCTAAGTGGCTGGCTTCGACTGTGGCAGTCTTGTCTGGCCTCTGAGTCTGTTCGAAAAGTCCACTGAGGTGTGTTTCTTGAATTGGAAAGAAGAAGAGTGTTGGCTCTGTCGGTGGCAGCTCGGACTTGGCTTTTATTGCATACGATCTTGGTTCCCCCTGTCCTTGAGGATTATTAGGCTGCAAGGGGCACAAGCACCAGAAGGATAGAATGCACTCAAGAGGCCTCTCGTCTCTCGGAAGGTACTCACTGTAGGTCCTCGCTTTAAACAAGTTCTTTGTGAACAGCATAATTGAGTTCAAGTTCACTCTGGCCTTTGTTTTCAGTTCATCAGGGAACTCAAGTGGCGATGAGAAGGAGGAGGTGCTTTATGTCATTATGAAGAACAGTCTTATCCACATCCGATCTTTAAAAGCACAAAAAACGATGCACTTCAACTACACTTGAGAATATCATACTTGAAAGCCCATCTACAAAACCAATCGGCTCAAATCATCAACACATACTCTAGTGGACGTTGGTGACTGTAGGTAACAAGTTTGATTGGTTGCCAGCCATGTTGGCGTCAATCAGTCCCCCAAAAGTCAGTTCCACAAGATCAGCGCAGCAGCCCCCGCTTGCAGATCTTTGCCCCCTACTCGCCCCACAACTTTGTGGACAGCTTCCCCAACATCTCCCCGGGGGACTGCCCTGAGCGCCCCGCAGCGGGGGAGGTGCAGGTGGGCTGCGTGGGCGACGCCGACCAATACGGCAACTACCGGGCGCCGCGCATCGTGAGCTTGAAGCACCACTGGTTCTGGCTGATGAATCACGTGTGGGACGAGATGGTCGAGCTGCGCGACTTCGAGGGGCACATCATGTTCATGGAGGAAGATCACGTGCTCGCGCCGAAAGCGTACAGGACGCTCCAGGTGGGGCCTCCTCGGCTGAGAGTGGTTGGATCTGAGATGGATGAGAATCTTGCGGATGAATTCGTAGACTAAGATGATCAGTTGCGCGTTTCGTTCTGGACCAGTGATCCGACTTGGAAGGTTGAAACGCAGATAGGTTTTGCTCGTCAGACCAAGCTGGAGATTTGTTAGACAAGATGAGGGCCGGAACTGCCAGAACTGTCAGAATGGATTGTCAGTTGAACTCGACAAGGTCAACTTGACCAAGAGCTTCATCTTTATAGAAGTTTGTCTGCATTTCGTAGCCGGACTCTGAGGCATACCCAAATGAGTTCAAAGTGGTTGGCCCTAACCTTTTCACTAGCTTATTCGAAGGCTTTTTGTCAACATAATCTGGTGCTCCGCCTTCACCATAGCAGTGGCGACTTTGCTGAGGGGTCGAGCTTTCTTTTGAGAGTCGTTTTGTCAGTCCAGGGACTTCTTCTAATCTTTATCCAAAAGACCAATGTGGATGTAGACACATTTGCAGTCGTCTTTTGCTCGTCTTTGCCATTTCTGCTGAGTATGTGAATTTGCGCATGCTGTTCAAGTTTTGCATGGCCTTGAAAAGTTCATTCTATTTTGATATCTTTCCGTCCTTCGTACACTAACTCAAACAAAGGAAGCAGCAGCCCCTTTTCAATGCGCTTCCGATTCACCACAGCTGTTGTTTTCTGAAGGCGTTCACGCTCCCTGAAGTGTGATTGTCCTGGAATCCCAATCACGTAGGCCCCCCCGCCCCGTTTTTCTTGACTGCCTCTCATCTCGTTCCTCATTTGCACCTGACGAGCTTTCGCGTCTCATCCGTGACACTCGCCTTCCCCGCCAGGTGCTGGCCAAAGTGAAGGGCGAGCGGTGTCCCCACTGCGTGGCTGTAAATCTGGGCATGCCGCTGCACGACGGGGGGAACCCGGGGGGCAACTACTTTGTCGCGGATTGGATGGCCAACATGGGCTACGCCTTCAACCGCAGCACGTGGCAACGGATGCGGGACGGCGCGCGCACGTTTTGTACGTACAGCGACTACAACTGGGACGAGACGCTCAAGTGGTCCGTTATGGCGCACTGGGCGCCCGTCAGGCTGGGCCTGCACGCGGCAGGTGAGCGCTGGCGCAAACGAGATCGGAACGGACGTGTAATGAGGCGTCGAGAAAAGTTTTGGATTGGGCACACGCTTTGCTTCCATTTTCTAGACTCCTGTAAACGAGGAACTTGCGACCTAGCGGACAGGAATGGTTGACATGAGGGTGGGCTTCTCAGCCTGGGCGCAGTCGTCGTGCGGATTGTTGGCTTTGGTTCTCCTCACCTTCCTTCCTCTTCCTGCCCATAACACTGCTAAGGACGCGGTCAAGAAGCGCGTTCCAAGACACGCAGTATTCAGATCGTATGTCCCGAGCCGCTCGCTCTAGTGGAACGCTTGTCTTTTTCCGATCGGCAGGCCCTCCCATCATGCACATGGGCAAGTGCGGGCTGCACGGGCAGGCGGATGGCGCGGGGTGCGCCGAAATTGACGATCAGGTGGCGGCCTTTCTGGCCCAGGAGGCAGACCGGCCTCCTCCGGATGAGAGCTGGGGGATACGGGAAGAGGGCCAGGATTTGAATAGAATCGGCTTCTCGGGGTGGGGGGGCTGGGGCGACCGGAGAGACCACAAGCTGTGCATGTTTTTTGCAAAGTTGCCGGAAGGGTTGCGCTCGTAAGGAGCATCGTCAAAGTGCCTTAACATGGTGTTGTGCTCGTGATCTTGATACCTTTTAGACGGATTTAGAAACGGCTTGCATTGCGCGCGCATGCATGCTTTGAACACCCTCGGGAGCTTTGTACATTAGCCGTGAGTATAGACGCTGATGTTAATCTTCTAGACCAACATCTGACCAAGACAGGATGAGAAAGCATCCGACCTGTGATAGCCGACTAATCATTCGAAGCAACTATTCTGGTGCTCTGGATTGATGCATGTCGATCAGAAAGCTCACGATATGCTTGTCTCCTTTGAGTCCCGGTTGTGAAACGTTGAAGCGTGGTTGAAGTTTAATCGTAGAACAATCCGCGATCATCTTTGTTTCTTTTTCGGTTGCGCCGGGGAGGTCAAAACCCGGGAACATGCATATTATGATTACCCGGGCATACCTCCCGGCGATGCCTAGGAACTAAGGCACGCATTGTTAAGAATAAAAGCCTGACATAGTGACGTTGAAATTTGATCGGCAATACAGCATCAGTGAGCGTTTGCATGTCGGAGATGTCGGGCAGGCCGTCGCATGCAGGTCGGTGGTATTTAATTAGAGCACATGCCACACCTAGCTTCCGCGGTCGTCCAGGCCCACATCCGGACTATGGGGCTCCACGCGGTCTGCAGATCATGCTAGCTGCATGTCGGACATGATGACACATGATTGTTATAGTACGTGCCGCCAGTGGCAAGTGTACATGAGTATATGCGTGGTAACGTACATACAAATGTCCAATAATAATGTCCAAGCATCTGTGAGCTTGCATATTGCATGGAGGTGTCCCGCAGACTCGGTTTATGATCGATTGTCATTGCAAACCGCAATCCACAATCTTGCAGGCCGAAAAGCAGAAGCGCGGTGATCTCGAGAAATCAGGTGCCAGAGATGGTGCGATGTGCTATACAATGAACAAGCAGACTCTGAAGGAGCCTGAACAATGTTTCCCGCCTGGGAAATGCTAGCGCAATAAGCTATGGCTGCGACTACCAACCGAAGTGTCAACGAGCCCTGACCGCAATCAGCCTGTAAATCAACAACTCTCTCTTATCCCCCCACGGATTATTCGAACAAATAGGCTTTCACAACGACGAGATGGGCGTTCCTTCCGGCAGAAGTCTCATCCGCCCTGCTAGCGCACTCTCGACAGCCTCTGCAGCCACTGCGACTTGGGCTCCCCCTTCGGTTGCCGCCACCTTTTCCCCCTCTTCCGTCTTTGATGTTGCAACGCAGTACTTCTCCAACCAGCGGTCCATTTCCCAGAGCATGTGCATGATGCTTTCGCGTGCGCGGTATCCGTGGCTCTCGTGCGGCAGAATAACCAGCCGCGTGTTGGCGCCGTGGCCCTTGAGGGCGGCGAAGAAGCGCTCCGACTGCAGTAGAAGAGCAGCGGCATGAGAAGAGCTGGACTTCTTCAACCAGATTATCTTGATAGTTGAAAGCTAGACGACAAAATGTGACAAGACTTCGATGTTCTCCGGACAAGAGGAACACTCGTCGCTGGTCAGACCCTGCTGACGACGCTAGACTCATAAGACAGAGTAACAAGGAATCTAGCGTCAAGCAAGCCACCGGCCCTGACGACTTTTTCAGTGAGCGCGAAGAACCCGCTCGGAATCTGTGGCGACAATAAGGTACAAGCGAGGTGCGTTGTCGCAGAGAAACGGAGCGCCTCGGCGTGAGTGCCAACCGGACGCTTTTGGACACTGCCGCTCGCTCTGCGGACGGATCCAGTCGCGGCCACCATAAGAAAGAGTGGCGCAAGCACAAAGGATCCAGCCGCCGATTTTTACAGAAAACAAAAGGGCTGGGCGAAATGCAGGGCACTTCCCGGCCACCAACTAGATCCCTCCCCTACCTGATCGTTCTCATATTGCCCCACTTTGACCGCTCACTTTCTCGCAAACCCTACCATTACACCCCGGACGACCGTCGGCGCTTAGGGCATCCAAAACAGACATCAGCTGTCTTAGTCGAAAGCTCATTGCGATGGCAACTTTCTGCGCAGGATAGTGCGAGGCCGCGGGCGCGGTGTTTGCTTGCCTGCATGGGGAAGGTGCCGGTGTTGTTGTCGGCCTCCCCGTGGATGAGCAGCAGCGGCTTCTTGATCTTGTTCGCCTGCATGAACGGGCTCATCGTCATGTACGTCTCCGCCGCCTCCCACAACGTGCGCTCCTCCGCCTGCGCAAACACAGAAAGAGAACGTCAGCGGATGCCGGAAGTCCGCTCAGCGGTAGCGCGTAAACGAACGTCAGCGACAGCACTTCGCAGACTTGCATCGGTCAATTTTGCTGGCTTGCTGAGATGCCAAAAGGATATGCCTTTACTACAGAGGGCGGAGTCTGCAGTGACCCCAATGCTCAGTCGCAGGGTTGCGAAGAGACGGCAAAGAGACCCTTGACCGATGACTGACGGGCGGTAGGGAGGCGCGGCGGCAATCCCCAGCAGGGGCATATCAATCGACCGACTTCTCATGTACAAAACTGTTTTGAAGGTCTAAAGAACACACAACCTGCAAGATCTTCCAACAAACATCCACTTCTCAGCTTCCTCATGCTGGCAAAGCGGGACACCTGGCAAAGCGGGACATCTGACGTCACCTGGAAGCCAAAGGGCGTGAGCGTGCGGTTGTAGGCCCCGCTGCGCGCGATGCCGCACGCGAACAGCTGCGGGCAGTGCGCGAGCAGGTTGGCCGTCATGAACGCGCCGTACGAGTGCCCGCCCACCGCAATGCGCGCGGGGTCCGCTACCTGCATGGCACGCATACTATGAGAAACGGGGAAAAGAGAGGGACGCAAGCTACACGGACCGGGCCTCCAGTGCACTGAGGCAAGTCAGTAGTCCCAAGGTTTCCCAAGTGAAATAGAAAGGCGTCAAGAAGAAGGACCTCATCTTAAAGTGGGCGTCGCTTTTATGAGCACAGTAGTGAGTCTAAGTCCTGAGGAGGCTAGAGGGAGGCTTGTAATGGCCACCTCTAAACCGTCCAATGAAATCCTCCAATGTCCAGGTGCATTCGCGAGTGCAGACGCCCGCTTTAAGCGGGTTGAGTAGGCGTCTCCAAGAAGAGACGTTCCGCCAAACCGTCTGTCCTCGTCGCCGAAGGCCAATTCTTGAAAAGAGAGTAGCTTGGTTAACCGGCGGAGCAGATTGAGAACCCTTGAAAGTAAAGAACGAGAGTCCGAACCTAACGAGCACACGAAGACTTACCCCTCGTCGTACTACTTCGTCAACAGCGGCCTGCGCGCTCGCAACCAGCTGCTCGACGTACCTGGAGGCAAGGCACATAATCAAAGTCAGCTAACTTGCATTATGCAAAGGCGTCGAACAGCACGTACGCTACAATCGTCTTCACAGGCCCGTTAGGTGCGATTTAAAACAATTATCCGTTGCACTGGATCCATAACGTCTTGTTCTCGAAATGCATCAAGGCTACAATTTTCAATCTGAGCGCACACTTTTACTCAGGGTCAAAGGAAGAGGGACGGAACCGAGAAGAAGTGAAAACTTGCACGAGGCCTCAAATGGCAATCGCCTCTGAGCCGCAAGTTCCGCATACTGTAAGAAGTCATCCTTCCTTACCACGTAGGACTCCTCGTTTTCCCTTTTTAGTGCAAGGTTTTGACTTACTTGTCGTTCGCTTCCTGGTCCCCCTCTCCTATGATCGGCATGGTGGGCCCGTCGAGAATAGCGTATCCTCGTGCCAACCAGAGAAGCGCCGACGTGGAACCGATCCCGGAGAACTCGTTGGGGGATCCCCGCATCTGGCCCGCAGCGTCCTTGCTCTTGAATTCCCTGCACAAACACGGATGTAAAAAAAAACACTATCTGGACGGGGTGTCCCTGCGTATGATGACATGTAAGCTGGGTAGAACGAACTGACGACCCCCCTCGTGTCACTGAGCCCATTCTGATTGGCCGAAACTCCAGCTATTGGGCATGATCACGAAGCAAGAACAACTTTGCTCAATAGCAGACCAAACTTTTATCCTCTCGTTCCATCTAAAAGTACCCTTATCCAAGGAAAAGTCGTGGCCATGCAAGATATACGAACCAACTGCCAAAGGTTCGAGCCAACCACAATAACAGGGAAGTGACGTCAGCTGTGGCAGGAGGCTGACCTGGGGTAGGCCCACATGATGAGCGGCAGCGGCCCGTCGCGCTTTGCATCGTAGCCGGGCGGCAGGTACAGCGTGCCCATCAAATCCACGCCGTCGCTACGCTGGTATCGTATAATCTCCTTGGACAGACCTTTCAGCTGCAACCGACAAGGAAAGGTGTCTCCTGAAGCGCACTTTGAAGCTTGGACGGGTGTTTGCTGGGGTTGACAGGAGGGGGCAAATGCAGTAGGGAATTTTCGCATCAGGGGAGAACCGGGGCGCTGAGATTGGTCCCTTCGGACTATGGAGTAGTGGCTTCCAGCTCGAGACAGGTTCCTTCAGATTGTGAAGTAGTGGCTTCCAACACAAGACAGAGAAGAACTTGTTTGCGAAGCTCAGGTAAGTCATCGCACTTCAAAAGTGAACCCCTGTCATCAAGGCAGGATGGAGTAGACCGTGAAACAGGCTCCACAACAGAGCGCACGAAGAGCGGGTCTTCCAAGTCGCGGAAGGCCCTTATCACGGACGGCCGGACTCAGCGACGCGGCAAGGGGTGCGCCACACCTGTGGGTAGGGGTGCGGAAAGTTCGTGATCTGCTGCCACGCGTCGGTTTTGACGGTCCAGAGGAAGTACTGAGGGGGCTCCGTCTGCGACTCCCGCGACATGAGGAAGCGCATCTCCTCCAGCTGGAACGGCTCCAGGTCGCCTAACTGCCGGCCCTCTACCAACTGCAAGGGGAAAAAAAGGGAATCACGCACCCCAAACCGCCGTTTCGAGACATCGTGTGGGCACCAACCAGATAGAGTCTTCGATTGTAGTACACGAATCCACTTCCAATCGTGGCATGCTTTTCTTTCGCAGTTGTAGAGCGACGAACAATACGTGGACGCAGCACCGTGCAACAGCCCCGGCTGCTTTGTAGTCCGATCGCCTTGCGCATCCAAACGCCTACAATCTGCTTCTCAGAGGACAAGACTCAGAGCGATTCCTCGATGCGAAGAACGCCGTCTGCTCCCTCGGGCTGCCTACCTCGGGCTGCTTGTCGGACATGAGCGCCACCACGCTCTCGAAGTACTCGTCCTTGCCGCACTGCCACACGCGCTCCGCCTCCTTCGTCTCCAGATCGAACAGGTCCAAAAACGGCCGATCACCATCCGGCGTGGCCCCTGTTCCCGAGAACAGTAACCGGGGGTGCGCTGCCTTGCCCCCCCGTACTTCGGCCAGCACGCCGCTGCCCAGGGCGGTCCGCCGGGAGAAGGGGCTGCCCGGGTCCGAGTAGACGTCCTCCCACGACCGGTCGAAGAGGAGGCGGGGCGAGGCCGAGGAGTCGCCCGGAGAAAAGATCTGCAGGGGGCGAGGGTGAGTCAACGCTTTGGAAGTCTGCTGAAGACCGCTCTGCGGCTCTGGGAGCGGTCAAAACTCAAGCAGCGGTTCGTTCAAATCCAAGAGATTTCGGTTCCAAACAACCAGCCTGTCCATCCAACCTCGCTTTCACCTTCGGATCGACTCTTCGGTTTCGTCGAGATACTGCTCAAACCACTTGACAGATTCTTGTCAGCAATTGTAAGCTCCAGGAAACTGAGAAAAGCCGCTCGAATAACGGTTTTTCCTTGTACGTGCAATCTAAACAGGTTGCTAAACGCAGATGGCAGAGTTCCCCGGCAAGAAACCATTTCATCATAGAAACAACCTCGATAAAGTCCCGCCTCTGGAGTGATCAGGCGAGCCTACGACGTGACATATGCGGCCGGCTCAAAGCTCCCTCGGCAGGACGACTTCTATGAAGACACACTGCCCGGGCGGTCTCCCCTATGCTCTCTCTCCCACGCTCTTCAACCTGTCCATCCCAGCTTTCCTCCAATATTTCCCCGTTCTCACCCATGTCCTCGTGTTGCGTGTCTTGTACCAGCTCTCGTACAGCAGTGCCTGGTCATCCCGCTGCCACTGGATCCCTCCGTATCGCTGCTCCGTCTTCGCCAGCACCGCGGGCTCGGACCCGTCGTCCTCTGCGGGCGCCGTGTACACGATGTCGCGGGGAGACGCCTCCACCTTTGCGTCGCCGCCGTCCTGCGTCTCGGCCTGCAGAGGACGGCAGCTGGGCGTCAGCGAACAGCAGGCTTCTTCTACGTATCGTTCTCGAAAGATTTCGTTCAACCCTGCTTCCGCCTGTCGTTCTCCAAGTGCCCGTTCTCAAAGACCTGGTCGACTGCAAAGAGTCGCTCGACTGGGACAGCATCCAGTGGTGGTCAGAGCCGGAAACAAAGCTGATTCTTCTGTACCTTTTCACATGTATTCGTCTCTTCGCAGGGACGACCTAGAGGAACAAGGCATAGTTTTGAACTCGAAGCGCTCAAGTGTTATCCCGACGATTCAGCCATCAACTACAGCCGTGGTTCCAATCACTCTTAAGAAAACTCTTACAAAAAGGCAATGGAGCGGTGGGAGTTGACGCCGCACAGGCCCTTGTCGACCCAGCTACATCGAAGCAATGTGACCTGGAGATCAGTGATCCAGCAAGCGCGGTGGCCCGGGCACTCACCCAGTAGAGCGTGGCCGGCTTATCCTCCCGCCAGTTGATCCCTCGCCGGCCTTTCCTAACACTGTTGAACGTAATCGGAATATCCTCCGCGAGTGGCAACCGCACGACGTCGCGCACTTTCTCGCCTGCCGCGCTCCCGCTCGCGCGCCACACTTCCACCGTGAGAGGGAACCGCCCGCAGGGGACCACATATGAGTACGGCCGCTCGACATAGGTTATGAGCATGAACTTGCCGTCGGGAGAAACATCGATGGAGGTGTAAAGGCGGGGAACGCCGATGGGTTGAATGTTGCCGGAAAGGTCGAGGACGTGGAGTTGGGAGGTGGCGTAGTAGTCGAAGAGGTCCTCGTCGTGGGTGTCTTTCAGGAGGTCGGGATATGTGCGGGCCTGGGACACCTGGACAGCGGGGAAGGAGCGAGTCACAACTTTTATATTCTGATTTCTCGTTTGAGTTTAAGTTAAGGAAAGCCAACAGATCGAGTCAGGTTCCAAAGTGGGAGACTCGTAACGAGACTCTGGATGGATGAATACACAGATGGACGTTTCCGCGTCATAAATCACAAGCAAGACCTGGACAAGGAGTGGGATCGGGCCAGAGCTCCGACTCCCAATAGATTCGTCATTCTCAAATCAGCCGCTATTCTGTGCGAGCGAAACCAGTGGATCAAGCGAGTCTGTTGAAGCAGCGGAGTCAGTACAATACGACTGAAGGTAGATACATACATGATGCTTCCATTTGAAAAGCTCAGAACGGCAGAACGACAACTTGTCCTAATCACACAGACGGATCAAGGTGACAGAATCGATCTCAAGCACCACTTAAAGACATTGTCAATGCAAATGTTATCTAGGTGGCCGGCCAGAACCAACCCAAAAGCTCCTTCAAAACCGCATATCTTTTAAGTAAGCGGAGAGCTACAAAAAGCTCCAGATCCATCCCGCCCGCAATGACACTGGTTGCATGCAGATATGTATTCCAGTTAAGCGCTTATGCAACAACACTCAGGCAGAATCGATCCCAATCGCTACGCTACAATATCAATCACACAAAGCAGAACAATATTTGATTCAGCTTATAGGCAACCTGATAGGAAGCAGGAAGAACGGAACTGACCTTGCCAGTCTCATTTGATTGGATGACGGGTCCCGAGGGCGCCAGCTTCCTTTTTGGTGGCGGGCCCCGGTTCGACGGGATGGTCGCAACAATCAACGTGTTGTCGTCCACCCATGAATACGACAAAAATACGGTATTCAGGACAGCTGTTGTAGGTGGTAGCAGCTCCCGCGCCTCGAGAGTGGTCAAATCCGCCACCCAGAGCGACAACCCGCTCCGCTCCTCGTTCCCCTCGCAGTCAATGTTGTTCGTCCTGATTGTGAAGCAGAAGTGGCGGCCGTCATCTGACCAACTCGTAAAGTTTATCTTTGCGCCTTCCGGGATCCCAGTGATCGGCCTTTCTTCCCCTCGAACTCCCTCTTCCGACACGTCGCAGATGGACATGCTTGTGTAGTATCCCATCCTGGACCGAGCGTTAATTTCCCCATCGATGCGAAACCCAGCCAACTTGAGCTCCGGTCTGGCAAGTTCCGAGATTGGAGTAAGAGAGGGCCTTTGAAGGAACAGAATCCTGTCTCTTTGGGGAGAGAATGAAAGCGCAGGGGTGGGTGGGGCGTCTACAATATCTGCAATTTCTTTCGGGGGCATCTTGTATCCGAGATCAGTGGCGTCGTCCTCTAAGGTGCCGTTCTCGCCTGGGGCACCGTTCGCAACAGCGGTGCCGTTTGAACTGCACCCGACCCCGCCAGAGTTTTCTGCAACTTTGCCTGGCGCCAACCAACTGAGTGCTCGATATGTCCGGGAGTACGCCCGGCTCGATGAGAGAGCATTGGAGCTTTGGCCTGCAGGAAAGAGGTGGCTCGCCATGCTTAAATTTTTCTGTTTCCTGACGCTGCTTGCATGCTGCGCATCTGAGGGCGATATTCTAGGCGTCTGCAGTACGGGGCTGAATCTTTTGGAGGGGAGCTGCAACCCAGCAGAGCGGACGCATGTGCAGCTGCTGCGGAGAGAGAAACGAGAAGCAGCCAACACGGACATGGTGCCACCAAAGAGACCAACGGTCTGAGCGCTGCCAAAACCTGGCTTCCTCCTCACAACCTATATTAAAGAGCTGCATCGCCATGACACAGATGACCCTGAGAAAGCTCTTTCCGAAAACCCCAATTAACCGAGCAACATGATCCGTGACAACACACTGACTCAGGCCAATGGTAACAGTTTCCCGTCCCTGTCTTCAAGTGAACGGTAACGACTATCATGCGCCAAATGTGCGTGACTGTCCACTTGGAAGAAATTGTTGAAATTGAAGCTAGGTAGTTGAGCACCTATCCTGGGAGCCAAGATGGCGTCTTTGATGGCAGGAGTGCGCGTGCTGGAGCAGCCGTGCTTCTCAGGACGTACTGCTGAGTTGGGTTCGTCTTTCGCCTTGCAAAGCACACCTTTGTTAGAATCTTGGGATTCTTGTTTGACTACCACAACTCACGGGTTCCGAACGCCTGCACCTCAGTTGAGCTTGAGGAGATGTCGATTGGAAACACTAACTTGTTGCAGTAGAGAATATCCCAGTATTAGCACGTGGGCTTCTAGAGAACGTAGACCAGCAGGCACGCGGCATGTGCGCTGCCAGGCAAAGCGGAAGGGTGAGAAAGTGGTGGTGTGGTTGTAGTCAGATGTCTGGAATTCAGTGCATCAAAGCATTTACTGGTGTGTGCTGCAGATTGCTGGTTTCATAAAGATACAACGTCGTCTATGATTGCTTTCCTGGATTGCGAGCTGAGGAGGGTCTGCATTGCATTACTTTTTCGCCGTCAACTTTTGGTCGCCGCATACTGATGCCCATGGAGTAAGAGTACTCTGCTGATGGTGCTCTGCAGTTTGTGACCTTGATCACAATTCTCTGCCCCAGGGTCAGGGTCTGGGAAGACACACGATGCTACAGACATAATCGATGAGGAGGTGCTGCTTGGCCCCAGCAAGGGCTGGACTCCTGGCTTCAAGGGGCTCCTCTTTGACCCCCTGGGCAAGCTCCGGGTGAGGAGCATAGCTGCAGTTCAGAGTGCTTTGGTCTTATGCTCCTCAACTGGTGGTACTTCCGCAATCTGGAACAAATTACTCCTGGACAACCAACGGGCAGTTTTGCGCTAAGAGCATTTCGACCACGTGCGCTCTAAGATGCTGATGAGTTGCACATTGGGACACGTCTCATATAGGACGAACGGTGGACCAGAGTGGCCCTGCAAATATTAAAAGGATGCAAGTGCACACTGTTGAATGGGGCGGGGCCTTCTTTGCAGCTGAACCCCGACCTCATCACCCCTGACCTCCTCAATGACAACGTCGATGAGCTGGGGCCTGCGGACAGGGAGGCAATGCAGGCGCCGCCGGTGGAGCCAACAAAAAAGAAGAAGGAGAAGAAGAAGGCAAAGGAGGTCAAGAAGCCCCTCACCGTAGCAGTGAGTGAAGACATGATTGGGGCTTGCACCTTCTGCTCTCGCAGTCTGTCACGGCCCATTTGTAGTGATGTATCATCATAATAAGGCAGTTCTTGTTATGCTACCTCTATTCTCTCCCTTCTCCTGCCTTCTGGTCAGAAAGTTGCACACTCCACAGGATTCGTCCAGCCGAGCTTCCCCCTTGCCACTCTGTTTCCACTTCGTCCCCTTGTTGGCATCGAGCATACGAAAACAGCAGAACTTGGTCCATCCTGCACCGGCTTCGAATCTTCATCAAATACCGGGGCCCAATCCTGACAATGTTGTCCCATAGGTCCTTGTGGCCATATGAAAACTGTCACCAGAACCATTAGCCCTTGACACGCAAGCCCTACTATTCCTAGGACCTGGAGTTGGCGGGCGTGCCAGTGAACGACCAGCTGCGGCAGATCTTGAAAGAGGAGAACCGGAGGGCCCACCGGCAGGCGGCGGAGGCAGACGGGAAGAAGGTCAAGGGGCCTCGGCCGCGGGGGTGGCAGATGCCAGCGCCAGACAACCGGGAAGTGCATAAGCTGCTCAAGGTAAGGGGCACTCATGCCGCAACAGGCTTCGCGCGCAGAGCGCCTCAGTTCGAAACAGGAGCTTTCTTGGGGCCGAACCGGAGCATCTTGCTCCAGATGATTGCTTTCCGAATGGGAGTGGCCCTGGTTTTCAGACATCGCAGCCGGCCAAGCGCAAGTTAAAAAGGGACGCCACTAAGTTTGAACGTGCTTCAACTGCGGCCTCGCTCCGGCTTGTAAGGCAAAGTTACCGGAGCTTGACGCTCTAATTGGGCCCCGGTTTGGGTTTGATTTAGAGCGCATGCCCCGTGTTGAGATACACTTTTGGTGCTGACCTTTTCTGCATGAAGCTTGCAACACTTCGAGAGTCATCTGATAATCGCATTGAGCTTTCGGTAGCAAGGAAAGCAGTCAAGTTCTGTGGTGGGTCGGTTCTGTGAAGCATCCGAGAGATCCGCGAGATGCACTGGCTGCCCTCCTTCATGCAGATTGTGGGGGGCCAGGCCAGCGGAAAGCGTCTGCTCTCGCCCGCGGACCGAGCAGTGCGGCCGATGATGGAGGTGGTGCGTGCGGCCGTGTTCAATATGCTCCAGGTACAGCCCTGCCTGGGAGTGGACGGCTTGCTGGAGGACCCCTTTGATGATGGCGTCTCTATACTTTTCTCTGGACAATGCATCCATCTAACGTCTGACGCGTAGTTGGTGTCTGTTATTCGTGTCCTCTGTCGTTGACGGCGTCCATTTGCCTGAGTTCCAAACTCCAGGCTTCATTGTACTCTGGTAACCAAAGAGTGACTTAACAGTCGAGTGACTTCAGATAGGCGCGCGGGGGACGGGTGGGGTTAGCTTGGTGGTTAGGGTGGGTTCGGGTGCTAAGCGGGTGATTATTCGGGTTAGGTGTTTTAGTTTGTCTGGTCGGGGTTCGTGAATCCTTAGTCATTCACCCTTTAAGTCACTCCTGAGTTACCAGTATCTTCATTGTTGGAAGGGTAGGCCCGTTTTGAAACAACCATAAAGTCGGCGTCCAGTCGCTGCTCGTCGGACGTCCTTGTTTGAGGCGGACGCCTCGTCCTGATCCAGCTCTTCCTGTCCGCAGTCCATGGTGGGCCTCCCTACGCTGGAGGGGCGGTGGCTGGACCTGTACAGTGGGACCGGCTCCGTTGGGCTGGAGGCGCTCAGCAGGGGCTGCGACAGCGTGAGTTGTCAATCGGCCTCGACCTTGTGGTTTTTCGAAGGAGGTGGTCTTAACATTATGCTGTGCCCGTACTTTGCCTGTAAAGTATGCGAAGGAGAATCCAACGATTGCTCTTTGATTCGGAGTTGTGCGCGTAGTTGGTCTTGAAGCAAATCCCGATGGAATACTTGGACTCCATCCTCTGGCCCGTCGCCGCTCTGTCTTTGCTGCCGCAGCTGTTGACCCCGTGAACGCGTTGCGCAGTGTCACTTTGTGGAGCTGGACCCATGGGTGGTGACCAACGTGCTGCAGCCCAACATCGACAACTGCGACTTTAACTCGGAGAGCATCATCCACACGCAGAAGGTGGAGGCCTTCTTCGAACGAGCAGAGGAGCCAGGTGGGCCGCCCCACCATACCCGTCCACTGTCCTTCGTTGGTTTGTTAATCAGCTCGGTCACGACTACTGACATCAGATTGGCAGCTTTGAATTTCGGACGTGCGATTGGGTCGCTAGGTGCTTACTCCACAGTCTGTCAGAAAAGTGTCCGCTCACCTGGACAATACGGCAGGCCCGAAATTGTGGTGCCCATCGTTCTGCCAAGGAAAGAGACTCGCGGTGCAGGCCTCCGGCTAAGAGACGGCTGAAATGAGCATTTCAGGAATCTTTACTTTCGTTTCTTGTAAATTAGCAACCAGATTCCCTCTTCGATTAGTTACCGAGTTTCTTGCGGACTGCCACAACGATCAATTCAGATTTTCCAACCGTCCCGAACGCAGGTGCTATTTCGGGGGGTGCTTTCGACTTCATCAGCGTCACCCCACCTTACGAGGCCGTCAAGTACAGCGACTTGATGACGACACTTGCCACCTCGCCCGTCGTAGGGCGCGACACTTTCATTGTGAGTCCGCTCTTTCCTGCGGCGCTTGCCTCAACAAGCACCGGAGAGTGGGTTGGGCGGGGATTCGCTTATGTTTTGCCTTGTTTCATTCTGAGCACGTACAGAGGCGAGCTCGTTTTGTGCAACCTGGGCCACTTCAAGATCGTGGAAGCATGTTTGACACAACGGATACTTCTTTTCTATGTGCAGATTGTTGAATATCCCTACAGGGACCGGGCCGTAATCACCGACCAGTGCGGCAACCTGTTTAAAGTGAGCACCGACCTTGTGCAAGTGATGCAATCAACTACTTTGCAATGCAACTTTCACCAGAGCAGTGCGGGTTGTGCAAATCTGCATGCTGTACAACTTATGTTTGAGATCGACTATGGAAGCATGCGAATCCAAGACACTTCGTGTACTCCATGGAAAGATTGTGTTTGGCATTTCGCAGATTCGAGATCGTCGCTACGGCCGGACCAACCTAGCCATGTACGGCCCCGATTGGGCCAGGACAGAAAAGACTCCGTAGAGACGCTATTTTGGACGTAAACTAGATCAAGGGTTGAAGGGGCAGTTACGGGATTGTGCGTTGATAGGGTTCATCTGAAACAGTCCAGGAAATATAGCAACTGGTTAGCACTCGGAAGATCCTTTTCGTTCAGCGCACCTGCCATTCCACAGGTTCTCTGCCTTGCCATTGGCTTTTGAAAGTGACCGCTGATATCTGAGAACAACGGACGCAGCTACCCCGAAGTGCGGAGTGAAAGTTGATCGATGCGGTTTGCCTATGAATCAGCCCTTGCTCAGATTGTGCCCCGCAGCTGCATCATGCTCCTTAGAATGCTGTGTTACTGACATGCATAGGCTGACTAGCTTCGAAACCCCTTGATTCAGTAGCTTTCAATTGAACATTGTAGTCTAAGTTCCGACAAGATGGTTGTCAATTCCCCACCATGCACAATGCTCAGCGGGCATGCTGTATGTCAAAGCCCGCTTCGAAGTTTTTGTTGGACCGAACTCGGACTCGAGCGACGGTGAGTTGCTGAAACAGACTCTTGTCACGTCCGCACAACTTTTGCGCGGACCCATCCGACGGCTGGGGTTGCATCTGGTTGCATCACGAGTTGCTGCTGCCATGGCGGTGCAAGGGTGGGCAGTGGGCATAAATGATCGACCTCAAACCTGCTCAAGGCATGAAGGGGCATGACAATCGCGAGTGAGTGATTGATCACGGCCGAAGGTGAGATTGCGACACAATGGCGGACGGTCCCGTTAAGGTTCCCCTCTACTCTCTGCCTTTGCCTGCCTTCAAAGCGGCAATCCATGACAGGATCTGCTCTGCACTGCCTGGACCGGCTCTTGAAATTACATCTGAAGAGCAGGCTGCATTTTCCTCAGCCCTTGAAAACCTTCACGACTTTCTTAGGGCCAATGTACATGGCCTTGTCTCTCAGTATTCGCTTGGGACAAGGGAGGGCTTCCTCTGGAAAGGATCCGTTGCTGAAAGAAGGTTCATTGGTGAGTGTTCAAATTAGGGTTTGCCGAGGGCAAAAAATCATGGTGTGTCAGCCAATGAGGTTTCTTCAGGACTTTCATGCGCAGATTGATTGGGAAGCTCGACCAATGTTGTATCAGCGTATGAAGATGGAATCTGGCGGTCAAGTTGTGATCCAGCTGGTTTCCTTGACAGATACTTCTCTGATCACGGGGGCAGAATGTTTTGACTTGGTGCTGGGATCTGAAAAATGTCTTGAAAGTTTTAGAATCATCATCTCTCTAGATTCCCCTAATCTTAGCTGGTTCCACAGGAGAATGCGGCGCAGGTTCTGCAAGCCACCGAATGTGATACGAAACGAGAGAAAATGTGGGTTATCAATGATGGCTAATGAGTGCATCCGGGAGGACTCATACCTTGTGTGTTGATCCTGATCAGCTTAACAAGTTTGCACTCCAACAAGGATGTAGAGGTATTTAGTACCAACATGACTGGAACTCCAAATTCCTCTTCTTCATGCCCAGTGAGGCCCAAAATAGCTTGAGCCTGAGAGCAAGCTTCCTACAGCTGCACTTCAAGAAATGCTGCCACTAATCTTCGCAATCGTTTGGCCAACATAAACACAGCAATCGGATCTTATTCCTTCACTTCTTTACACATGCACCAGCGTGACATTTCGCCGCTCTCTCCTAAAAGCATCTTCTTTCGGACCTTTCCCAGCGGCTCTCCCCATTCTGGAGGAGAGTGGCCCCAATGGCGCCACCCCCAAGAAGCTCACTTCCATGCCCTCCGTCCTCTCCGCCCCTGCCAACATGGAGCGCATGGCTGAGCAAAGCGCACCTGTGGCCGCATATAATCTCGACTTTCTCCCTACATTTGGAGTGCCCTCCCCTCCAGCAAGTGGGGGGTCAAGCCCCCTCCACCCACTGAGCCAGACAACCGCAACTGCACAGCATTCAAATCTGCGACCGCCCAAGCCAGGGTAGGCCTCTCCTCTTACTGGGCGGTTGATGAAGACTTTGGATGAAGGACTGTTCCTGGCTGCTGATTCGCCTTCAGTTGTGTCCAGTCTGCAATATCTGGAAGTTGGCGCGGATGCCTTGGTTGAAATGAGCCAGGGAAGTCCTGAAAGTATCAGCTTTCAGGACGTCTGAGCTGAAAACCATTTCTGAATGTTGATTCCTCAGCTTTTGACTGCTGAGTTGAGACAGTGCACAAGAGATTCTACTCGTTTTTGTGGACCCAATGATTAAAATCAAAGTTACCATTGAATATGCACACCTTCTGTTTGTTCGGGAAGAGATTCTTCAACTCTCTGTCTTGGAACAGGTTTCCAAATTTTTGTACTCAACTTGAGAACTCGTAATCAATCACGTGGTCTTAAGAGTCGCTCTTGACTTAAAACGTATTGAATTTCGTCCAGAACCTTTCGCAGCAGGATTGTCTGTCCAGGCTCTAGCACTCTGAGCTTGCTTTCCTTTTCTCATCCAGTACTGGCTCAGCTCTCGACCCCTCAATCCTGTCCACGGACTCTCCTTCGGTTGGGAGAGACAACAACAATCCCTTCAACTCGCCCACAACAAGAAGCCACGGGTCCAACCCCTTCGACGGGACCCAGGGACAGAATCCGTTTGACTCGCCCCTCCGTGAACCAAGCGCGGCCCTTCAGCCGATCCTTGATAAGATTCCGGTGAGCTTGTTTGCTGACCTGTCAAAACTGGAAGCTTCTTGACAAGGTAACTGACTTCGACAAATCAGAGTACTTTTTCTTCCATCTAAATTTTGCAAGTTGCAAGCTTCTGGGATGGAATCGACCATGCATCAATCTGTTGCAACCTCTCAGCGTTCTACCAGGTGAAAAACTGAGAAGCTCCTCATCCCTTCAGCTGCGCTGATAAGCTTAGCTAAAGCCAGTCTGTTGAATAGCATATTAGGATCTACTGCTGACTTGCTTAGCGTTTGGACGTCGATACGCTTGTACAGAATTTGGTTCAGGAAGTGAACAGCATGTGAATGGGTAGATAGCGACAAATGGACTGCCGTCTTTTTGAGCTCCCAACTACGTTTTGATGGGAATCTGGTCGTCTGCAGGACCTTTCCTTCATGCTCTCTGACAAATTGAGCGAGCCAGCTGCCTCGCTTCAAGCTGTGCCTGGAACGGGTGCAGCTCAACCTAGGACTAGTGTAGATGAATGGGGAGATTTTAGCGGTCAGCCATCAGCCTCTCAAGAAAGAGGGGCGAATCCAGCCATTGCTGCCCCTGGAACTAGCATTGACGATTGGGGAAACTTCAGCGGTCCACCATCCGGCAATGTAGATTCGACAGCTGCACAGCAGACCGTCGTCAAGCCAAGGGCTAGCCTCGAAGAGTGGGGAGACTTTAACGGTTGACTCGAAGACAAGCGAACAATATGATCTTGCAGGCATGCCCAAAATGCGTGATTTCAGAACTAGCTGAAACCCCGCGGGTGAGTCCCTTTTCGGAAAGAACTTGCTGCTAAGTGATGGAGGGGAATGAGGTCTAGAATTCACGAGTCCTATTGTAGCCAAGTGTTACAGGCATGGACGCACATAACGGCCACATGGATATACTGCATAGACGGTTTGCGTTTTACGTGAATGGTCGGTTGAATGGTTCGATCTTGAAAGATGCATCCGCACATGGTCCCCAAGCTCCGATGAGGTGTTTGAAATCATCATAAGTTCGCATGTACATCATGAATGAGGAGCATTAGTAGGTGTATAGTATACCGTCCACTTGAGCTAGAGCAGGCTTGATTGAACTCGCACGTGAGCATGCCCCGCCGCCCACTGATGGATTGCTAGATCGATCCTCTCACTAAGGATCTGTTTATTAACGTGCTTCGAAAATACATATCAGTGCACTGCGCGAACATATGCAGCTGGTATGGCGAAGGGTGATGCTTATGCAGCGCCGCGCGCCGCTGCCGTGAGTTGATTGCCATACATGCGCGCTACACAATGTCACTACTGGCAGCATACACACCTAATTTCGATCAGCCTGGCCTCTGGGAGCTCTAGATACTGGGAGCTGTCTACTGGTCCATGTGTTACAAGGGATGAGCTAGCTAGCTCGACGATTAGTGCTTGACAAATTTGACCACAAATGTTAGTGCTCTGGATGCAACGCGCAAGTTCCGCCATTCTCCAGAGTCTGCGGCCAGTACGTCAATCTGCTCTCCCGGTTGACGCTTCCTGCACGAGCTCGTCAAGCTTGAGAAGCTGCTCCACCGTGAACGAGTCCCAGATCGTCGTCTCGTGAAGCTTTCGTTCAACAACTCGCCTCGTTCGCAAGAGGATCTTGCTCGAATCGGAAGCATGGTCCTTCTCAAGCCACTTGAGCCACGAAGTCGAGGTCTGATCCGTGATTCGCACTCGTTCTTGAACACGAGCGCACAATCTCTCGAGGCCGCACGCATCGGCCAAGGCAAAGAGGGCCTGCAGGGCACATCAATCAGGGTCGCTTATCACAATCGTCTGTAATCATGCCGAGTATTATCTACATTAATATAACTGGTAATCTGCGAGAGAAAAGGCCTAGAACCTTTTTTGAAATCGGTTTCTCCAAAGATCTATTAATCGAACCAGTCATGCCAGCGAAAGATGATGAACAGCCTGGCAAATCGTCCTCAACGTCATTGATGCAACTTCCTTCTCCGCTTCCCTCCAACAGTCCTGTCGAATAATTTATATGCTACGATTCAAAATCTAAGCTGATCAATTCAGTCTGTCAAGTAATCCCTTCGGCCCAACCCAGGATAAAATGAAAAGGTGTTCTGCTGGAAGTTTGAAAGCGCACCTGCCAGATTTCGGCGTTGGACGGCTCGACCTTGTCCAAAGCCTTGGGATTCCGGTACGCATATTCCAGGAAGACCTGGACCACGTGCTGACTCACTGAGCAAGGTAAATGCAGTTCTAGCTTCCGGTTTAGGTTCCAGCACGTTTCGCTGCACCACGTTCCTTTAAGCCTCGCCTCGAAGTAAGGCAGATCGATAAGAATCGCAGAATGTGCCGCCACCTTGGTGCCGTCCTGAGGACACCAAACACCGGTGTGTGAGCTCAGATATCTTCTCTTGGACGCGCTGAGGATGTGGACCTTGCTTGTACACGAACTTTGAATACGTGAATTCTGTCGCCATTCAATCCTGCTCGGAACTCTTACCTTTCTTTGAGATGCTTCAGGTATACGAATGGCTCTGAGCATAAAGCAGTCTCGCTTGGCAGATACGCGTACGACTGCATGCCTTCGTGCGATTATGATTTTATAACAATCCAAACTTACCTCACAGACAATGTACAAGTCCCCCGTCCTATCCGCGTCTTTCAAAAGCGAAGCCTTTGACCTTGGGTTGAATTCGTCCATCAGCGAACCGGAAGACTGTTTCGCGACTTCTTCAGATGCAATCTTGTTCTGAACAACAGCAATGGAAACCGTTAACTAATATTCCTCATAGTTTACTGACCGGACTTTCGCAAACCTCAGCTCGATTCCTAAGCTGTCTGAGCTACATAATATCCCTTACTAAGATAGTAACATGTACACGAAAAGAAAGCCACCAGTAGTATTATCCTCTGGCCACACAGACGCTTCCTTATTTTTGGCTTTAGGTCCATGGCCACCCACCTTGTCGATGCAAGCCGCTGATAGTAGTACATCGTCGTCGGAAGAATCCAAAAGGCTCCCCCCGACGCGGTCACCTCCTTTCATGTGTTTGCGACTTGGCAGCTGCAAAAAAATCATCTTACATCGTTGAACAATGAGATCTCTTTAAGGGTCATCTACCTTTTACGTCGACTTTAGCTGAGCAATTGGCAGAAGTAGCAAAATCTGCGGAACCTCGACTCTCTCCTGTAGCTGTTCAAAAAAAAGGCTAGTAACTTACCGGAGCTGTTACTTGCGAGCGCTTTCTGCTTAAGGCACCAAGGTTTCTTTGCGCTTTGGAGGAGATAAAGGCGCCTGATCCGAACATACTTGAAAGTGTTCAACCAGGCACGTGCCGGTCAATGTTGAGACTCTGCAGAACGGAGGGGACTTCAGCGTTTGCTCGAGGTCAATGTAGGCTAAGTCCTATTGACCTGGTTGAAGCGTTCGATTTTTCCAGAGCCGATGACAAATCTAGGTGAATGTACCAATCAGCATGAAATCTGATTCGCAAGTCTGTGGCTAGCTTCCATGCTGCAATATGCAACATTTCGTTGGCGAAGCAGATGCCAACTTCATTGAGACCATAGGAAAACAATCAACGGAAGAATCTGTGCATTGTACTCTCTTTTCTCACTCTTTGTCAAGCCGTGCAGTCCTTGGATCTATGCGGCCAGATATCAGACTCCAAAACGCTCTGTGACGGGAGGGCCTGCTAAATAAAAGCTGCAGCAGTCTCCTGAAAGAGGGGTGCAGCCTGAGCACAGCGTACCGCTCTAACGCGAACTTGTATCAGTGTGACAACGCTTTCCTACATTCACAAGTGGTCTCGAGGATTCGGGTTAATGATGAACCTGAAAGTTGTCAACTGTTTGAATCTGACACAGCCAGATCAATCAGGACAACGCTGTTGTGAGTGTTTGCAAGCGATTTATAGCTGAGCTGATTTACAAGGAGAACGGCGCGTACCCTCTCTTCAGCTTGTGACTATTTCTGATGATCAGCACGTACACAATTGCTTGGAAACAGGAAGTACACATGCCAATACACGCATGCGGCTAGCTGCTAGCCTGAACTTGACGGATCTATGACACGGATGGAAGGTCAGGCTATCTCCGTCAAAAAGTGAGAGCCTCAATAGCCCTGACAACGTGCAATTCTGGCCCGCCGGACCTTGTCTGAAAGCAGTAGCAACGATGGTAAGTTCGTTGTAAGCGCACGTAAAAGCTAAGCCTTACTTTGGGCAAGAGGACACGAGCAGGCTAAGCTGTAATGCGTCCAGCTTCAAGCGAAGTAAGTCTCGTCGGCCCTGATTTGGTTGATCAGTTGTTGAAGATTCGATGGCTTTCCTTCCCGTGACATAGCATGATCCAAGCAGGATCCAAGCGCGCAATCATGATAACTTGTCCCAGAGCAGGATCCTCAGCCCTGAATCATCAGCTTCGTTCCTAGTTTACAAAGTGCATGCAGCCGTCAAGCCGTCAAGAATGTCTGCTTGATGGCATGTTCAAACATCAGAGAAGTAGAGGGACGACAAGATCTGACAGGCACGACTTTTACATGGAAGTGCTCTCATGAGGAACGAGAAAAGATTTTGACATGGTTCAACGACACTCCGCCGGCATCGCTGAGAGTTGCGACCAACATTAGATCCAGAATGCAAACGGGATCCACGTGTCATTTCCTGCCATTGCGCAGGCACTTTCAGTCCGACCAGTACTTGTTAGGCGTTCATGTCAGCGTGTACATGACTGGCAGGAATTTAATCTTGCCGGAGCTCGACGTCAAGCTCCGTGCAAAAAGGTTGCGCTGCCGCCCGCCATACTGCATGCTAATTTGATATGAAAGGAAGTCTTCCATGTAGGCTAACAAAAGTGATTGCAGCCTAAAATGCACCTAGGCCGCCACTTCCATGACATCGCAGAATTAGCACCATGCATCATCATGTGCATGTACAATGCAAGCAGTACGTGAAAGGCAATGCAAGAACAGGTAAAGCTTCACTAGCTTTTATAGCATACTGCAGTGGCGGCATGTAAGATTTGATGCGCATATATTGGCAGCAACTGGCCGCCGCGTTGCACACGTAAGGTAGCGCAGCCAGGTAGGGCAGCAGCCATCAGGAACGAGGGATTCAAATGCTTCATGATATATTCGCAGCTTGTCAAGGATCATGCATGAGATGTATCCAAGCATTAATGCTACAATGACCCTGTTATGGAGCAAATTATGAGCAGGTCCCCTTAAAGCCACACTACTAATGATTTTCCGAACCCAACAAATCTGGTCTCGTATCATTGTGCCAATCATGTGCATGGCCACTCAGACAAACTTTTATGTAGGTCTGCACATGTTCGAAGTCCCTAGTTCAAAACTGCAATATGGAAGTTTGTGTATCCATCAGCAGCCTGATACGAATGTACACAAAATGAGCACGATAAGCCACCTAATCTTCCTGACAGCAAGTCAAGTCCAACTCACGCAATACTTGGCGCCACATCATCGTCAACCACCCCTACCAACTCGAGTGACAGGCCCCAGAGCTTCTTGGCTGCCTCCTCATCATACACGTGCTTTGCATAACCGGGAACCAAAGCCCCCCAAGTATTTTCGGGCATTGGCTGACTTTCGCTGCAATCTTCAAGGTACTTCCCCCCTTTCCCCTCCCACTCCTTCCCCACTGCCGCCCAAACCGTTGTAGCCGCACCCTGTTCGGGATTTTTCATCTTCAACTGCACTTCTGGCGTCAGCATCGACTTGAACATAGCCGGGTCCATGTGACGGCCCAACTCTGTCATGATACCACCTGGGTGCACCGCTGTTGCGTGCAGCCCTTGTGAACCATAGCGCCTTTCAATCTCGGTCGCCAAGTAGATGTTGGCAGTCTTGGATTGACCGTATGCAATGAACGGCTGGTAGCCAACCTTCTTCAAGTCGAGGTCGTCAAAGAGGATTGGAGAGCGGCGGTGCCCGGACGAGGAGAGAGAGACGACCCGGGAGTTGAAAGTTGGCGTTGATGAGGCCAGAAGGGTGGGCTTGAGGAGCAGGAAGAGCAGGAAGTGGCCCAGGTGGTTTGTGCCAAACTGGGTTTCGAACCCGTCCTTGGTCTGGCCTTCTGGAGTAGCCATGACTCCTGCAGGGTATGGACATCATGATCAGAAGCAAGAAAGGGCTCACTCACTTACAATTGTTTGCAGAGATATGGATAACGCAGTGCCGTCTGCAGGTTGAGCTGTGTGATAGGCAGTCAGCAGTGACAAATGTACCAATTGCAGTGAAACTGGGACGCTAACTCTTGTTCTCTTTTCCTCCTGGAGTTGCTGATCTCAGGTGATTTGCCAAGGATGATGACCAATCAAAGGTTGGGCCATGCTTCATTTATAGGTTGACACAACTCTGAATCAATCATTCCCTTCCTTTGACAGTCAAAAGCTGGCAGATCTATCTTTGATGGTACTCTGTAGCTTCAAGTTGCCCCCAACTCACCACCATTGAGGCGGTCGTTTCTGGTGTCTAGTGGTTTCTATGAGTTTAAACATGACAAACAACCTGGAAGGACGCAGGACATCTCTCAATGCCATCTTCTGATCAACCAGAAGAAAGGACCAACCAGACAGACTTCTTGTGCTCAGCATCACATAATTGGACATTGGCAGCAGGCACAAGAAATTTTCGAATCTCTTACCAGCATTATTAATAAGCACATTGAGCTGCTTGCTCTTGCTCAGAAAGTCTGCTGCGCAGTCCCGCACCGACTGCAGCGAGTCCAACTCCAGCTTCAGCAGCTCAATCTTGCCCTTGCTGCCACTCGTGTCTTGTGCCAGGATGTCTTGAACCACCTTCTCCCCCTTGGCCATGTCTCGAGCAGTCAGATACAAGTGCGCACCAGTGGCGTGCAGAGCACGCGCCGTCTCAACACCAATCCCAGCCGAGCCCCCGGTGATGAAGATGACCTTGTCCGTCAGTTTGCCAACCAGCCCCTCGTCGTTGATGATGTCCATGGCGGTGGGGCGGGCGTCACCAGGCCCATTGGGGTTGACGTGTGCAGCAGCATATTTGGACGACATGGTGTTGAATCCGGGGACTTGAGAAAGAAAAAACCTGGAGATCGTGGATTGAAAGCCTGAGAGGGAACAATTGCACCTCACTTCAATTATGCCCTCAATTGCTTGGCGAATTAAGTGGTTCCTCCGGCGGGCCTTCCTCCGAGAGTGTTCTTCTTCTTGATGCCAATGGAAGAATGCAAGGATGGTGCGACAACCTGCATATGTATCCTAGAGAACTTGCGGCCACCCAGGAAGTTTACTTCTCATACTTCAGACCATCTTTTCGGCCAACGTTGCCCCGGGCCCGTAAGTACCTCTAGAAGGAGATGACGTCAGCTATACCAACGATGATGAGCCTAGAACTCTAGTGACGTTGATCTGCGGGATCCCGCTCGATCATCCGGCGGCTGGAAACCTCGAAACCTCCGACGGGCCGTCCACATTCGCGGCCCCGGCCGCAGGCGCGGGCCCGCCGCCCCGCCCCGCGCCGGCCGCGGTCGATCAAAGTTTGCACACCAGGTGTTTCTCAAAAAGAGGCAGCTGTTTTCTTACGAGCCCAGGAGAACCCCTCCACGAGATTCTGCATGTTGAACAAGACCGCCTTCTCAAGATGAACGTCAAAAAGATGGAGGAGGTAGGGGGGAGGTAGTGGGCTCCCAGTGGGCTACCACTGCTCTATCACGGCAACACGCAAGGTTCTGCTAGATCAATACCTGGCAGAGTACTCTGACCCGTGCCTTCAACCGCCGTGCAGCATCCAAGGCTCCGCTGAAGAAGAGGACGAATTCCCAGATCCGGGGTGGTCCGGAGATCCTCTTTTGCGGTGGGTGTCTGCGGCCCTGGCAGATATGCATCAGGATCCCGAGACTTCACCCAACCGAGCTGCCCGCGCCTGGGCCCTCCAGCACCATCTAGCAGCTACGGGGATGTCTTTTGAAGACTTCCGAAAAGAGCCGATTCCGCGGACGGTCCTTGTGGCCGAAGCGATGGAGCTCTACAAGCCCCCACTGGACCTGTTTATCTACAGTGCCTGCAACGAGATCAAAGAAGCTTTGTTGATCGGAGGATCTAGGGATTGAAGTGCAGTATCTCCCCCATGACAGCGAGGATGAAATTGAAGATGAGCAGCCCGCTTCCCTAGTTCTCCCCCCCGTCCCGTCCCTACCGGCCCAGCCACCAGCCCCCGGTCCCCCCAGAAGGCCCTCCCCAGGCCACCCCACCATAGAACAACCTCGCGCAGATCTGGCCCGGAAATGATGATCATACCGGTAGTATCAATGTGCCAGGCCGGGCCGTGTGATGATATAATAATCGCAAGAAGCAGACCACGTTGTAAAAAGGCTAGGCTCTTATTCGGATAAGAGGTGGAGGCTTGAGGGCTAGGAACCTTACAAAGCGGTTTTTGCTGTCACAGCCCAAGCGCGCTCGTCATGTAGTAGCTTGCCAGTAGAAGGCCAAACGTTGAAGAAAGAAATAGTTATGACATCTCACACAATCATAGCTTGTAATCAGGCTTATGCCATCATAAGTCTGTGGCCTAGGTGGCTCCGGCGTGTAAAAGCTAGAGAACATTGCGCCCACCGCGGCGCTGGCCCTAGGGGCGCTGGGGATCATGTAGGCTGTATCAGTTGTGACCGGTTACCTTATCCTGCGTGCATGCACGAGCCGGCCCGTGCACTGCCAGGCTAATCGCGCCCACTGCCACAGTGGGCCGGGGGGACGGCTTCGTGTCCTACAGTCATGGCAAGCGCAACACATGCCGATCGTCATTTAAAGACGCCTCCATAGTCGCGCAGCCCGAGCATAAAAACTGCAACTGCGAGGCTCCTAATTCATGTGAACCGAACTACGTACGTTTGAGCATGTTTACTTCTGGTGGTCCTAACGATCAAACTTGAAAGCATCCACCTCTCATCCTCGGACAAACGTGGTACATCGGATGCTGTACATTATGATAATTTCAACTCGGAACACATGAAGGCAATAAAAATAGTCTCGCAGCCAGTACTCATGTACGCCACCTCTGGCTGTGTAGCATTGCCACACTCTCTAGAGTTGCCACAAACCTGCATAGATCTAGCTTTCCTAGCTTACCCTGTACATAAAACAGCTCAAACTTAAGGACGTACAACCTGTTCGTGACTCAAGATTGGCGCCGAGGTGAAGCAAAAGCTATCCGAAACAAGGTGCTTATCTATGACTATTTTATTGATCTCTGATCAGAATTCAGGACAATTTGAGCACATTATCGTGCACCGTTACTTCGCGGGTTAGAGAACCACCCGCGAGCCCACGTTTGGAGAAGAGTTGATCACTTCTTGACCACCCCCTCCAGCTCGTCTTCCATTTCCGCATAGATCTCCTGCAACTTTTCGATGGTTTCCGGGTCTGCGTTCCACAGCCCGCGGCCTGCGGCTTCCAGCATACGCCGCACCACGTTCTGGAACGCCTGAGGATTTGCTTTCCGCAGCATGGCTGCCATTTCGGCGTCCAATGCATACGTTTCCGCCGCCTGCAGAACGGAAGTCGAAGCGTCAGCAGCCTGTCGACTGGAATAGTACGTCGGCTTCACGCACGTCGGCATACAATACACCAGCATCAAGGTTGCACCATGTGACTGGGCCCTCGTGACTTAGCGAGTCGGCAAAAAGCACTGATGCAGATAAACACGACATCCACGTCTTCAAACTCTTGCCTGCCTTCGCGAAAGTGCATCGCAAACTCTTATCAGTAGGTCCGACTTCCATCTCCGGTACAGCATTGATAAGAGTCCTGAACGATCCTGCTTGTAAGCAAGTCAAGCCGTAAAGAACCAGGAGCAGATTTCCAAGTTAATTGCCCCTCCCCCGTCGCCTCCTCACCTGGTCGTACACCCAGTCCTCCTTGAAGTCCGCGGTCCCCCCCCACCCGACCAGCGCGGTCATGCGTTGCGAGATCTCGAACGCGCCCCCCGACCCCTGCGCCGCCATTTTCTGCGCCCACTTGGGGTTCAGCAGCTTGGCCCGGTACTCCAGCCGCAGCGTCTGGTCCAAGCCACGCGCGGTCAGGTCCTTCCCGAAGCTCTCCACGATCGAACACTGCGTCTGCAGACATGAAGCGACTAAGACGTTTAGCAAAGGATGTTTGAGGATACCCCAGAGCGGTCAGACTGATTTGGTAGCTCCTCCCGCCATGAAGCGGCCGATATCTCCAGGAGACGCAAGAAAAGCAGAACGCCATGCACTGTTATCAGGTCGCGCTAAGTAAAAACCCAGTCAAGCGTCAAGCGTCCTATACTAAATCACAGCTGTCAGAACAGGCGAAAATGGGCACAGCAATGCGCTCATGCTCAATATTGCCGGCCACGCGATCTCTGAGCGACCTATACGAATTTCGCCCATCTGCGACTGTTGCCCAGCCCGGGAAAGATGAGGTATTTCCGCGGCCGCACCTTCTTGCCGTCGCGCAGCGTTTCGGCGGCGGCCTTCATGGCCCCCGTGTTGGCGTAGTACTCCTGGATGTCCGTCAGGCCGTACTCCACGCTGTCAATCTCCTGGACGATGCGGTCCGTGCTCGCGAGCAGCGCGCGCAGCACCTCCGGCCGCGCCACGCCCTGCTCGCCCCTGGAAGAGAATAGCGGGCGACCAGGTTTGCCAGCAGCGACAGAAGGGCTAAAGAAGCAAAACCGCGCGGACTAAGGCTACGTTCACAAACCTTGTTTGAGTGGGCGCTATGAGGCGGGCAAAAGAAGAATGCAGAGAGGCTGCTGATATTGCTGGCAGATGCTTTTTCGACACGTTATGCACGGCCAGCTGTCCATACCATAGGCGGATCGAGAAGCACGCTTTGCGCGCGTCCTCACCTGCCGTAGCTGAAGGAGTTCCTGGACTGCCACGTGTCGCCCAGCTCCGCGCCGTCGTTCCAGTCGGAGGTGCCCACCCGCTCGTTGACCATGGATCCGTAGTCCCCCGCGGGGTTTGAGAAGATGCGCGCACTACTATTCTCGATGCCCTGGGACTGCGCGCATAAAAATAGAGAAAGCATGGGTGGGGTCAAGGGAGCAAATAAGTCGAGAAAACAGGGACATGTTAAGCAGGGGCGTGGTTCGGCGGTTTCTCTGCGAGCTAAGACGTGTTTCTATTGGCAACGAGAAGAAGGAAACGGAGTCCGTGACCTGCGAAACACTCATTTCAAGGGGCGCTTGCAAAACTGTGGTGACATGATAGCTGACGGAACGTCCCTTTCGCATCTCTAAGAGAGACTGCTCTGCTTTGTTATGTTCCCTGATGATTTCCTCTTGCCTGAAGGCTAGCCTGCCGCTAGGTACAATAAAGTCCGATCCGACCCAACGAGATGCAGAAACATCCCTGTAATTACCCATCAGAACCTTTTGAGCACTTTTAGACCCACTTCAGAGTCATCATCCGCTGACGTCAGCCTGACGCGAGCAGCCCACCTGCAGCTCGAGTGCGTGTTTGCGCACGTAGTTCATTTCCGGCGGCTCGTCCGCTTCCGCGGCCCGGCGGAACAGGTCGTCCAGCAGTTCCACCACGTTGGCAAAACTGTCGCGGAAGATGCCCGACAGGTTGGCCAGCACGTCGATGCGCGGCCGCCCCAGCGAAGGGAGAGGGACAAGCATGAACCGCACGATCCGGCCCGTGCCCTGTGCCGAGTTTAGAATGCGTGTTAGACGGGTCTCGCAAAAGAATATCATTGGCTTCAAGGATTTGGGCTTTGGTTTTGAAGGTCTCAACTCTCAGGAGACGAAGGAGGCGTTAGTTACGAGTGAAATAGGCAATCAAGCAGGCTACTAGCCTGTCCGACCAGAAGAAGACGACGTCGACGAAAGCGCGAGGAACCGACTGTTTCCGGGCAGGAAACACCTTGCAGACCAAGCAGAAGCGACGTTACTCGAACAATTTCTCAGGGCCGCCCACGCCCTAGAATCGTGAAGTGAACAACCGCAAGTTCAGCGCACCTCTTTCACCGGCGTGGCCCCCACGAGCGCGAGCGCGATCGCGAGGCTCTCCCCGCGCGTCTTGATCGCGTCCAGCCCCCACAGCATGACGGCCACCGTCTCGGGATACGCTCCTTCGTGCTCCGCCCGGTGCTGCTCCAAAATATTGGCGGCGACGGCGGATCCCCTTTCCCAGGCGGCCGCACTGGGCATTCGGTACGGGTCCAACGCGTGGATGTTGCGCCCGGTGGGAAGAACCCCGGGGCCGTCGCGTAAGAGGTCGCCGCCGACGGCAGGTAAAATGTACTCGCCTGGAAATAGCAGAACGGAGAGGAATTGAGTTTGACACCCCCAGCGAATTCCTCCTAGGAATCTGGCTCTTCCGTACAAGAAAGTCGTGGGAGATCTGCAATAATGATTGAGTTAGAGAACTGCAATTACCGGCGTGTTGTAGGTCTCCGGCAGATATGACCGTCAATGACAAATTGCCGCAGAAGCAAAAGCCGTGTCTTCAAGTGCCCGGGTCATCTATTGTAGTGTGCAAGACAGAAAGACGCTGAGCAAGTCAACGGCGGCACAGCCCCGTATCCATTGCTCTCAAACAACGTAGCCATTTCTGGACTTGATCCGAAACGTATGCATCACTGAGCTATACGGACAGGTGGATTTAACTACTGGTCGACAGTCCTATTCAGCAAGTCGCAACGAACCAACAGCCGAGAAAAGGTGGTAGAAGTAACCTGAGTTCTTGGACGGCCGAGCTCACCGTTGAGCGCCTTGACGACGGAGTCCATTTCCTCGGTATTGCGCATCAGCAGGTCGCGCACCTCCAGCGCCTCGCGCACTTTGGGCTCGTACTCCTCGCGCACCGCCGGCACGCCCTCTTCCCGGTACAGCTCTTCCAAACGCGCGCGCACCTGAGAGGAGTGGGAAAACGCGCGCAGCTTGAAGGACCACACGAATTCGGTTGAAGGCAGCCTCAGGGAGCGGAAAGACAAAATTAAGCGGCGAATGTCGATCTCGAGCAAGTAGTCAATCTACGCCGTCTCAAGTGGAACACACTACACCTTAACCAACAAGATGTCGTGCAAACAGAACCCTCTGTTTGTCGTCCTTGAAGAAAAGTCTTTCACTGTTTCCTTTTCTGGAAACATCCCCACCTCGGCTAAACCTCCCGGCGTGCTTGCAATGGCCTCGACCGCCCGCTCCGGAAGGTCGTCCCCCAGGTAAGCGGAAAGATACTGCTGCATCTGTGACGGGAGAAGGACAGGATCCATCTCAAATCTTCGCCTGCAGAGTCTGTGTGATGACTGGTGCTTGCTTCGACGGGCATAAGACGGGCTTCAGAGCAACATGTGAGGGTTACGTGCAAATAGCGGCAGATGGGTATGCGGTCTTCAACAGTTTCGAAGAGGATGACTGAAAGAAGTCGTCTCCTTGGATCGTCAGTCGCGTCAGTTCTGTACCACATGCCAGAATTGAGGTAAGAAGCAGGGAAACTTTCCAAAAGTCCTCGGATGATTTACCACCCCGGCTCAACTATCTCGCAGTTTGTCTTTTCAATCAACTTTGCCGTCTTGTGCAAAGCTCATGGCGGCAATTTTCGGGCTTTCAAGGTGTCCCCAGTACCGACCTATGATTCGGAAAGAAAGTTCCCCCTCACCTGATCTACAGTGGGTGGCTCCCCCAGCGTGTGCAGCCCCTCCGAGAAGAGCCGGTTCTCCACCACCGACAGGTACTCGTACAGCCGGCTGACGTACGCATCGAACTCCGCGTCGCTGACGGTGCTGACGTCATCTTCCCCAAGCGTTACGGCCTCGCTGCCGGGCGTGGCCTCTCGGAAGGGGCAGTCCGAGTCGAGGCCGCTCGTGGAGAGGACGCCCACGATGGACCCGCGCAGCGACGCGTTGGCAACGGGATCCTCCCGGTACTCTTGCAGCTGCGCGCCGGAGCATGGGGGTTCGATCGAATGAAGTTGCGAAGACTCGAAATTTGGTAAACATATACGGTGACTTTCTTTGAGATCTTGTATGAGGGACACGGCCTGAGTGCCGACGAGATGCTTTGAGAGTCTTGAGGAAGTGACGGGTTTGCGGCGTGCGGCTGGAGTCATGCGCAGGCTCCCCTGGCCCGGATTGCTCCCAGAAATTGCTTCCAGCTAAGGGTTCGGATGCACTTTTACAACTGGTCGTGGGCGTCGTCTAAACTCGTTTGTCTGATTGCCCTGCGGCAACAATCTCTATTACTTATTATTCCTCGCGACCTGGATGCGCCTCGGAGCTTGGGCCAACAGAAGCACGCTTGATCTTGTTGGATCTACCTGCAACCTCTTGCACTGCCAGTGTTGGTTTCTTTTTGTGCTCTGTTCGTGTCCCGTATAGTTCTGCACACGCAGTAGCTTCCTGAAAGCAAACTCTAACGTAACGTTACTTTCCGAGAACCTGAGGGTTCGGAAACAGTCCTCGAACAAGCGCTCCCTCACCAGCTCCCTGAGCGACGCCAGTTCTTTGTAGAGGCCGGCCCGGCCGTATGGCGGCACGTTGTACGACACAATGGTCCCGTAGCCGCGCCGCTTGGCCACGATCGACTCCGACGGGTTGTTGGCTGCGTATATGTACACGTTGGGCAGGGCGCCCAGTAGGACGTCCGACCACGAGGAGCCTGCGGACGGAGGGGAGGTTGTAAGCATGACGTCAGCAATTAGGGTTGGGTCAGATGACGTCAGCAATATGAACGGCAGCCAACTCCGTTGACTAGCGCCAAAAAGAGGTTCCAGCACACGGGTCCAAGACTCATTTAAAGGCCCTCCAGAATCACCAAAGTGGCAAAATCACGGGCTTTCCAAAGCCAAAGATCTGCTTGCAAGGCAAAAGGAATGTGCGGCGGAGCATGTGCGGGGTGCGCGCTTACCCGTGTTCCCCAGGGGCGACCCCGGCAGCCATTCGACGGTGCCGTGCATGCCGAAGTGGATAACAGCGTCAGCGGCCATGTCGTTCTGGAGCCACTTGTAGAAGGCCGCGTACTGCAAGCAACAACCGGGGAGCAGCACTGGAGTGAGAGGGCGAACTAGAGGGGGAAGTAGACCTGTCAGCTGTCCTCGGTTATAGCCCACCGTCTCCTGCCGGAGCGACTGCTCTAGTAGCATGCTCGTGACGAGCAGGTTCGGATACGGAAACCCTGGTGAGCTTTCGACTTTGGTACTTCTTCCGCACGTATTGGTGATGCATCAACGAGCACCGGCCGATGCGTCAGTGTTGCGCACCATGTGACGTCTCCAAAAATCAGAACCTAGCACGGGTGGCTCACAATGCACAATCGTGATCAACAAACAAGAAAGCATGATCAACTACCGCAAGACGCAGCATATTTCAAGGACAAAGCTCGGCGCGGGCCTGACCTGGGAAAGATGCAGGCTGCCTCAAGGCGGATGCACCAGTCCACACACCAGGTTACTTCGACACCCTCCTGAAACAAGCATGGCGGGCTAGGAACGGTGCAACCAGACACAAAGAAACGTGAAGAACCAACACATATGAAACCACGCAAGGCTGGCTAAGATATTGCAAACGAGAACAACGAGAGCAGATAAACGCAACACGAAAACACGCGGAATAAGCGTTACGCGGGCCTGACCTGCGGGTGCGGCGTGAGGTCCCGTTCAAAGAGCAGGCGCATGGGGTCCCCCTCCAGGCCCAGCAGGGGCTGCACCGCGATGAACACGTTCCCCAGCTGCACCCCGCTCACCACGCTCGCGCCCGTCGCGTCGCTGCGGATGCCGCGGTAACGGTGCAGCTCGCCCCACGTGCGCTCCATGCGGCCGGTCAGCGTCTCGCTGTGACGGAGCAGTTCGGCTTCAGACTGGGCGGTTACTTTGAACCTCTGGTCAGGAGATAATCTGGCCGTTCCCGAGCTGGAAAAGACCAGAGTATCTCCCGCGGTGCCAACCGACACACATACTTCTGCTCCGCCTCCAAAATGATCTTAAAGAGGAGACCAAACGAAAGAGAATGTTCTGTCTTTCGGAAGTGCGACGCCGTTCTGAGAACTTATCGAGAACCTCTCCAAAACATCACATCTTTCGTCAAGTGCCCTCAAAGCCCCGGATTCGCAAGCAGCAGCCTCAGCCGAGAGGGGTATTGTTAGCATCACATGAACAGCAACGTTTGGGCCCGACATCATTCTCGTCCCATTGACCCATCCCCAAGCTCCTCGCTCACCCGATCCATCGCTTGAGCGTCCGGTAATCGACGGTCTTAACCAGCGGTGTTGTCGCTTGCAGCTGCCCTCCGTTTCCCTCCACTCGCGTCCGCGCATATGCCAACGCATCGTCTCCCCCCGCCTCGCCCTTCATCAGCACCCGCTCATCGTCCAACTGCTTCAGCACCTCAATCAGCTGCTCGCCGTTGATGCCGTCGGGACCATCCCCCAAATCATAGCTGCAAGAACGGAACACTTTGTCTTGTTATCAAGGCCTTCAAGACTCTGGAGGTGAGTTTCTGAACGACTTTAGCCGCTGATGTGGCAGGATGGAAGACAGTCGGAACGAAACGACTCCTGTCCTTTGTTTGCTGCAGCTTTCGGCAGCCCGGTTCGCGGTTCGTACTTTCAGCCGAATCCGATATGTTAGAAAGGTTTCCCTCGCGAAGGGATGGATCATAGAAAATGATGTTTTGTATCATTCAGCTGGGGCTGACTATCTAAACAGGGACGTCGGAGGAAATTGACCCTCAATGTGCACCTCTAAGAATCCTTCACGCTCTCAGGTGTTTTCTTTGAGAGTGCTCGCTGCAGCTCTTCGTCGAATGAAGCCCCACAAATGCTTTCGCAGGTACACCAGCTAGTAAATTCCAACCCTCGTCTGCACGCACTGCCTCAGACCCAACATCCGGTCTAGCTCACGTTCCCCATGATCGGCCTCACCCCTCTTGTTTGAGCCGCCCGAGGAGCGCCTCCAGCGACCGGGGCACGTTGAGCAGCGCCGCAGTGCCTGTGGCCCCGACGCCCGGGGGAAAGCCGTAGAGCACGATGGCCACGTTGCGCTCGGACGCGGGCTTGGCGCGCAGGGAGATCCACTTCTTCAGGCGGGAAGTCAGCCGGCGGACTCGCTCCGGCACCTGCACGAGCGTGCCGACGTCAGCCGACGGGTACGTCGTCATCTTCCCTCTCTCTCGTGGTGTCGTGGGAGCAGGTTTTGCAAACCTAAGAATAGTCTGCCAATCCTTTATCCATTTGAGAGGGGGCTGGAAAGACCCGACGGAGGGACCTGCGCAGAGACAAGCAGTCTCCCTGACACCCCAGATTGAGCGACGGACACAGAACCAGTTCTGAACTGCTCAAGCAGGACTTCGGACAGTTCCGAAGAGATGTTGAGAAACTCTTGGTCTCGGAAGTCAGAACAGAAGAACTGCAAATGCACAGGTCGTTGCAATTCCCTGTGTTATTCGCGAAGGTTACACACAGACAGGGACCACAGGACTTCAAACGGCTTCCGAAGGGATTCGTAAGCAACTGGCCACAAAAAACGAGATTGCTTCAGCACAAAGAGAGGAACCCGATGAACATCATTCGGAACAAAGAGGTTGGCGGGCCGCACCAGGTGGATGCCGTCCCCGACGAGTCCCCCCAGCGGCACGGCGTCAATGGCCCCGTCCAGCTCGGGCAGGCTGTACAGCACCACGCTCTGCAACCCCTGCACGCCATCGCGCAGCCAACTGGGAATGTCCTGCACGGCGTTAAGGGGGGGTGATGTTTCAAGGAATTCGGAGTTTGGGGTGAAGAGAACTCAGTAGGCTAGGCGGCAGAGGAGAGTCTGGTTCGAGAGAGTAATGAAGGCCGCAAGACGGTTCCTCCTGTTATTTTGCAGGTGATTCTCGACAACAAGGGAGCCTATTTGTCAAAGCTCCCCTTGGTTCGAATGAACAGATTTTCCACGAATGAAAGATAGTTTACCCTTCAGCAGTGCGAAGTACAAAAGGTCACACGATACTGCAGGTGCTGGCATTCTTGAAACGTTCCGGACCATGATTGTCACCCGCCTCTTTCAACAGTCCCTCAGCACCACCGTGCACTCAAAGCGGAAGTGAACTGCTGAACACAGCCTTTTGCAAGTAATTTTCGCCGAAGCACGTGCATCCGGCATCTCATACAGCTCCAAAAGCCCCAGACCGACCAGAAACCAATCTGAGAACGGATCTCAATCATTTGCCGGTATTCAGATCGTAGGTATGTCAGAACGAACAACCCACCTGGATAAGCAGCGGTGCCGAGACGACGTACGGCACGTTCTTGGCGCTCAGGATCTGCTTGGCAATCTCCGCCTGGCGGCCCCCCTCCATAGTCCCTGCGGGCCCGCCCACTAGCGGAAAGCCCACCGTGCTCACCACAGCACCCACAAACGCTGCGTCCTTCTTCAGCGACGGAATGTCCAGAATTCGTCGGCTGCGTCGATCCTGCAGGACCAAACGTGATATGTGTCAGTCTTGTTAGCTGATGCTTGCCTTTCCAGGCTTTGCTGTTGTCATTGCTGGGCGTTTGCTTATGCGAGAGCGGCTCTTAAGAAGGACCATCAGTCGTTAACGGCTGTCTCTAAATTGTCGCACTTGTTAGCACCTGATGTAAGAAGGTTGCAATGACCATGGAAAAATTGCGGAACGCCCTTCGCACTCCTTCTTCACACTCGTCGCCAAGAGACAATGACCGGACGAGAGAAAGCGGCATACAAGAGCGATATGCAGTCCGACCTTTCTTAAACGCCCTTTCCGCACCTGCTCATACTTAGTCGTCAGCAGGTCCCGCACGACCGTGTGCGCCTCCACGCCGTTGATGAAGATGGGCAGCGGCCGCAGGCCGTCCGATTCGAAGGCGCGGATCAACCGCGGAATGTACTTCTGGTTCGTGATCACGTGCTTGCGGTACAATAAGATGGCCACCGTGGGAGCGCCAGGTGGCAGCGTCTTATTGGTGCGGCGGTGCCACGAGAGATATGCGGACGTGCTCTCGAAGTAACCGTCTGCAGGGACAAGGAAAGATGTTCAAGCGAGTGTTTGCTGGACGTCGAGCACTGCGCTGAGAAACAGGCGTTCCGATTGTGAAGCAATCGAGACAGGGCTAGAATACCGATGACGATTGAGCGAAGGTTAATCTGAGAATACGAGTGGGGATAATCTTAGTCTGTTCAGGGGTTGGCAAATCCAATATCACGTGTTTGAAGGGGAATTGAGCCACAAGGAAACATCAATTTTAGTCGATGCCGAGATATAGAGACTAGAAGCTGCATACCGTAGTCGGGGTGATACAGCCCCAGCGCGGGCGTCTCCTTGAGGGTGACGGGCGCGAGGCCGGTCTTGACCAGGTACTCGTCCGTGAGGTACAGCAGCATGCTCACCACGTTGTCCAGCCCGCCCTGCGCACCGGCAGTCAAATGGGACGTTCTCAGTGTGCGGCTGGCGAGCAGGTATTGTTTGGGCTGTGATTTTACTTCGTCCTCAAAGGTCTGCCACTCGCGAATCGCACTTACGCTTTCAGGTGACCAAGAGACGCCTCCTCTTCACAGCGGGGGCCCAATGCTTCACACCGCCTCGCCAATCCGAACATAAACTACAGACTATCAAAGCCTCGGACAGATATTTCGATCGGTAGAATGATCCGACATCTGAGCCTTTGTTCTTAATTCCAGTCCGTGAAATAAACGGGCAAACGACGACGGCCTTGATCAATGCTGCGCTTGGGGACGTCGAATCAAAGCAGGTCACATGGCCAGGTTCACACAAACGACTCCTTATCTGGCATCTTTCTTCCGACTCGATACAGTCCCACTTTAAAATCCCGCAACCTGCAAGGTTCCAATGAGAAATCTACCGCCCTACACCCCCCCAGCCCCCAAGCGCGGCGCCCCCACCTGGTTCCAGTAGCCGTAGACGGTGAGCCAGTTGCGCAGGTCGCGCACTTTCTTGCCGGGAAGGAAGCGCAGCAGCTTGGGCCCGATCTTGAGGAAGCTCAGGTACCCCACCATCTTGTCCTCCTCGCGCCCGCCGCCGAACTTGCTCAGCACCGCCTTCACCGGCGCGGGCATGCCGCGCTTTTGTCCGCCAGCCATTGTGAAGCTGCGGGGGAAGAGCACTAGGGATCTCGAAGTGGGCCTTGGACGCGTGTCTGTTCCAGGCAGTCTACGATTCTGGGGGCGCGAGTCATTCGTGCTTTCGATCTGGTCCGCTTTTTCCTGCTTCAAAGGAAGGCTCACTGAGTGTGCACTTCTCGAGCTTCGAGATTCGGCGTCCCTTTTCTTCTCTTCAAGAGCCAACGAAGCATGCGAATGTTGGAGCTGACAGTCTGAGATCTCTCTGTGATCGGCAACAGAGCAGGGGGGCGGTGTCGGAAAAGTAGGCGGGACGGGGCTTGGTCAGGAGCTTAAGGCAGAGGCTTTGGGGGATGCATTGCCGAGAGAGGCAGCAAGTCCGAGGAACATTTGCGGACATCAAAATAGAAGAGGAGAGGGCGGAGCCTGGTAAACAAGATTTCCCGATGGAAGCTCGGAGTCACGCACGACCTTGAAACCTTCTGCAAAGAGAAGGCCGTTAATGCAACCAGGCTCAGATGCTTGAGGGCATAGGGCTAACAATGGAAGGCAGGAAAGGGTAGAAATCAGAAGCTGTAAGGCTTGGCTTCCATGGGGTTTGAAAGCAACCACGCGCACCTGCCAATCTGCGTGGTAGACATGAGCTCGAGGCTGGACTCGAAGCAGAGCCGCACCGGGATGTTGCTGACCTTCTCCTTGAGCCACTCACACTGCACAGGCCGCGCAAGTACTTCAGAATTTAGTTTGGGTGCGTCGGAGTCGGTGGGCCACTCTTGTAAAGCCAGAACATGAAAGCCCGCAGTTGGAAGTTTGAAAACGTCCATAATTGAAAACACGCTCGAAAATGAGGGTGATGCACCTCAAGATCCGGTCCCTTTTATAAGAAGTTCTCCTCAGAGAATCTGGGCAATGCAATTAAGTCCCCCTTCTCAGCCCAAGCTGTACCAGAAATGCTATCACATGATCGAAAGACAGCAGAGCCGACGGAACCAATCAATTGACAACTGATGGTCAGTCGATGGCCATCTGACAGCAACTTTTTGTGCCCCCACAGGTTGACGCTCTCACCTGATCGTAGTCGAAGAGCAGACTTCCAAAGAAGACGTCTGCCTTTGCCAGGGCTGCTTCGATCTGGACAAAAGAAACGCTAAGAGTTGACACCGAGCCGGCTGCATACTTTTCAATTCGTTCTGCCAAGAAATTCGTCCTGCCGAGAGAGTTCATCACTGTTCATCATGCCCTCTTTAATAGGCAAATCACACTTTTGCCCACTTGCCACCGCTGAAGCTCATAGACTGATCGACAGAGATATACTCACCTCTTTCTTCTTTGTGTTGATGTCCCTGTCACTGAAGACATCCACACGTATCCCTGGAGAAGCAGTGCACTCGTGATCAGAGACTTAGCATACTTGGCAAAAGATTGTCAATCCAAACATCCATTTCGGCCGTAATTCCCGTCTACCAAAACTTGGTAGTGTAAAGGATAGGCTCAAAAGTTCTGCACCATACTCTTAATGTTACACATCAGAAAGGCAGCACTCTTCCGCTTCCTCCTGGACAGTGTCTTAAAGCTCGCCCTTCATAATCCTTTCAGTACCCATTCCATATGCAAAGAGCACCGCACCTGGGAACCTCTCCCGCACTTGCGCTGCCGCTTGCTTGTAGAGCGCGACGTTGAACGACTCAAACCCAGAGATCAACACAATCCTGGCCTCCCGCCCCTCCACCAAGTTGCGCACTATCTCCTCCTCCTCGCCACCAACGTCCACTTCTGGAACAACACTGGATGCGCTCAAAGCTTCCTGGACTTGTGCCTCCAATCGTTTTGCCTCCTGCACGAAGACAGCCTAGCTCTGAGAGGGGCCCTTGGCGTGCTTGCTACCAGGTAGAGGACAAGCGGGCACAATAGGAGAGTGGGTCAACTAGAAAATGGTTGCGAGGGGCTCTCAAAGTCATTTGTTTCTTTCAAGACTGCCTGATTGAGAATCAATCAGTGGTTTTGCGGATAGACTGGCTGGCGCATGGTTGTGACCCCAAATGCTTGAAACTTCTTGCAAACCGTCTGGAACTTTAAGCCCACTGATGGCCGAAGGTGATATCACCTCAACTCCCTGATTTCCACAGAAAGAAGGGGCATGATCCATATGTGGGCACAAACCTGACATGCTGTTTTTCTAAATTATGACGATGCCTAGCAAGGTTTCCTCAAAGGCTCCGGGACTGCAAGTGCCTCTACTATGATTAACAAAGCATAGAAGCAGTAAAATCTGCAAGTGTTTCATGCTTCTTGAGTGAAGAAGCTTGGGTTTTCTTTTTGAAGCAACGTAGTGCATCTCTCACCCCCTCTGTTGTTTTGAATGAAGGCTCTACAGCAATCATACCTTGGCGATGCGGTCCCTGGTTAGCTGGAGAGGGTGGATGTTCCGTTGGAACGCCTGCCACTTCTGCCGGTCCACCGAAGCTGCACCACAAGCAATGGGCCTCGAGGGTCAAAAGACTGAGACATCTGAGGAGCCCAAGCATTTGAATTTGCAATTCCGCCAAACGATAATGTCCATTTCCAGCGCAGTCAAATCCAAAATTTGTTCACTGGCAGGCAATCACTTGAAAGCTACAGTACTTGATTGCAACCACCACCTGCCCAATTCTCGCGACCGCCTCCAATGACCAACTAATAATGACAAGAAAGGCCACGATTGACGTACCCATCAGCTGCTTCATCAATGCTGGATCGCTCCGACCAATTTCCCGCCATGTCTGCTCAGAAACCTTTTCCAAAACTCTCCCCTCCGGTTTGACCTCCTGGGGTTTCTGGAACAGGTTCTGCAGAAACCCAGCCTGAGCAACGACTTCTCCCTCTTTCCTGCCCTCTTTCTCTACCCCCTGCTCAAGCTGTACATTCGAAAATGTGCAGTTGTAAAGGTTGTCAATCTCTGTCTGTAGCTGCTGTAGTTTGTCGGTCTTCTGCTGAAGCTCGCTCTGCAGTTGTCTGCTCAGCTCAGAGCCGCCTTCCACGGCCGCCACAAACTCTTCTGACCGGCTCGTTTGACCGGCTTCGACCTCTCTTTCCGTGGCTGTAACTGCTTTTATTGAGCTCCTTCGCTGTGATATTCTGGGCGTCCTTTTTTGAATGTTTACAGAAGTCCCCAGAAAGTTGCTAGAAGGGGGCAACTTGCAATGCTGGAGAAATGCTGTGCCCGGCACTGATTGGTTGGTGAGGGGGGGTGAACGTCTGCGCCGACCACACCCTGCATTATGGACCTCTCTCCCGCCAGCTTGTACAAAAGAAAAGGCTGACTGGCGTGCTCCTGCAGTAGAAAGGGAGCCTGCAGGCATGAATCTGCTTGTTATGCAGCCATGAAAGGCGCCTTGAACAGCTGTGGTGGAAGCCATGATGTGTCACTGTCAGGACTCAGCCTCCTCAAAAATGCAGCGCTTCGCAGAGTGTTCCAGACTGCATCATGTGTTCCCAGTGATATTTAGCGTGCTACCGTAGAGCGCCCAAAACCGGATCACGTACCATTAGTGGATCACCCCCGCCCTAAACTGGACCTATCTTGATCCAGTCTCGTATTTCCAACTGTCCAAAACTGGATCAGCGCTTTTGTGCGGAAAATCGAGGTTTTTGACTCCAGAGTATGACCTAGAGTTGGTCAAATCTGGATCCAAGTGCATCGGCAGATAGCCCTTGAAAAACCTGGATATGTGGAGAAAACCGCACTTTAAATTTGTAAATGCGTTAAGAAATACTGCAAATAAGCGGTGCGAAAAATAAGGTGATCCAGTAATGGGCGCTCTACGGTACTTTTGATCTATCCAACTTCAACGGCGCGCGATTGTGACCGTCTATTCACCAACGCAAGGCCCTGCAAATGATCGTCCGGCCCGGCGGACTTTGTTTCTCTGACATCCTGTCAGAAATCCAAACGCTCTTTGGGCGCTTCGATGTTGAAATTGACAACAATTGACGGTCCGATTCGCTTCTTAGCCGATAAAACCGCGATCCGGAGATTCTAATTCCGTGCTCGGTACGTCTCTGGTACGTACCAGGACTCGGAAAAGCCGCCAACTGGCATTTAAAATTTAAGGGCTTCGAAACTTCACAGTGTTCAGACTCAGTGCAGAAGTCTGAAGGACGCATGGCAATTAGGCTGAGCTGCCTGATCCAGATGTTAAAAGGGTTGATGGAGGTGCCACAGCCAAAGATGGCCGCATAGGGAGGCTTTTGTCAATGCAAGCTCAGGCCCTCATTCGCACACCTGGAACTCACCCAGAAGGCGTTCTAGAAAATGTTGCAAGTTTGTAGAACAGGTTTGTCAAGTAGATTCGGACAACTCAAGTGCAGCCCACGTCTGCAAGCCTCAAACAATCACGCCCTGCTTCGCTCTTTCTTGTCAGGCTCCAATTGCCTTCCTTTCCCTGCTCTGGTTAGCAAAGTGCTACTTTGGGGACCTGGGCAACATACCACTCGATCTGGTAGCGGTGCACTTTCAAAAATACACTATAATTTTTACACGTCCAGTTTCTCACAATTCAGGAGTGCTGAGCGGGCCTGCTTGATGGAAACCAACGCCAACCACTCGCATGCTCAACCAGTGCCAACACAGGAGTCAACCACCCTGGACGCTTTGGATCCAGCGGAGCTACAATTGGTGGAAGTTGGCCTGCGAAATGCACTAGCAGCTTTGCAAACTGGCGGAACTAACGCTGCTGTCCTGTCAACTAGGATATGCCAGCAGCTCTTAGAAGGTGAGAAAGCAAAATCTGCTCATCAAGTATCAAACGCAAACTGCATACTTTCAGAAGTTGCACTTTGTTTGAGGGTGCTAGGATCCTTGTGCATCAACAACGTGCGGCTGCTTCACCGTTCAAAATAAAATAAGCGATGCCTGTGCTTTAGATCAGACCACCGGCTGATTGGCTAGCGGTGGCCGCCCCTCCCTATTGTTTGATCCTTTTGGGTTTTCAATGCAGTCAATGCTCCTCATAATCTCGACAAACGTTGTGTCTTCTTGTTCCCCTTCAGAAGAACCAAATCAGAATGAAGCTAGCGCCGCTAATGCTACCCCCGGCCATAGCCAGTCCGGAGTCTTGTCGCGTCCGCTTGTGCGCCACGTGGCGTGGGCCCTCTTGCAGTGGCACAAGGCTGGGCGCTTCCCTGTTGAGCTGCCGCCCATTGAGGGCCTGCAGGAAGATCGTAGCTGGGAAGGGGAACTAGATGGCTGGACACGAAAGATAGAGACAGCGCTTGGGGCCCTTCTTGAGGTGAGGAACTAAAGTCCCCTTTTGCTTGCTTCCCCCAGAACAGATCAGGAGAAGTCATTCCGGGGAGGCATGTTAGAGTCAAGCTTCACCACTGTTTCTTGGACCAAACATTTTTGCCAATGGAAACGCGGCGTGCAGATGTGGTGATGCTTCCAGACGGCCAGATCGGGTGTTCTGTAAGTGCTGTTCGTGGGCAGCTTGTAATCGATGGGACAATGTTGTCTTTTTCCAGGTTCGAAAAGCCGCTCTGAGTCTCCACGTCCAAGAGCCATGGTTCTCCCACTTGAAAAGTGAGCACGTCCTAACGCCTCCTGTACCGAGCGTTGCGTAAGGAATTGGCAATCCATCAATCTGTTGAATGCCTTTAGCAGCCAACGTTTCAGGTCCCTAGTTTTCAGGTCTTTGCCGCCTTTTTCTTTTCAACGCAACTATATGGCCAGGTCATGGTTGCTAACAGCCGCCGAGCATGCGTCCGGTCCTTGTTCGTGTTCTTCGTAAGCGGATGATTGCCGTTCTATTTCACAGGCACGTTGTGTGGCAGGTCGCATTGCCTTCGCGACCTGCGCTAACAGATACAGGAATACGGATACGAAGAATTGTCTTCTGCATCAAAAAATTTGTGTCTGTCGATAGGTCCTCGATTTATATTTGTTTCTCAAGACCGAAGAAAGGAACCGCAAGGCGCAGCTCAGAGCGTCTGACAGATGTGTAAAGCTTTCTGCAGGCGGAGCGAAGAGCGTGGAAGGGCGGTGTGCAAAAGAAGCGTATACCAGGTGACTTAGGTTTTCATCCACTTCAAATCACACGGCGTTTGGAAGCTCGATTCTGGACTTTTGTGCTTTCCATAGCCAATGATTGGCACAATCTTCGAGGGGTGTTATGCGAAGGAGGACTCTGGGTAGAGCGCCCAGAGACCGAGTGCGTGACACTTGTCGCGTCACTTTCTGAGAGGAAGTATCTGCTGACCAACTTGACGCTCGCGTTTGGACCAAATGACCGATTCCAAAGTTTTTATGACTCCCACTGCAGGCTTGAAGTTGGAAGTATACTTTTGGTGAACGACTCCCTGCTTCTCCAAGTAAAGGTATGGCCGAGCGGCTTTGCAACCTTGCCTCTCAACGTGCGAAGCAGTACAGTCGGCAAAACGGCCGTTTGGAAGGACGAGCGTCTGTCCGTCACTCTGAATTTCCGAAGTCGCACTTACCCGTTGCGGTTTCCAAAGCAATCTACTTGCTTGTGGGCACGCGTTTGTGGCCTTCGTGACATCGTAGACTTTCCGTTCCGTTGGAAACATCAGAGCCATCTCAGTGTCAGACTGTAAGCCTGACTGCATTTCCCGTGGTATCTGCAACAGGCCTCCGTTAACTACGACAGCTTTTCCTCCCTCCTGGCACAAGAAGGGCTCCAACGCGTTCTACCAGGCTGCGCCTCGCATGTTGATGGTGAGCCGCCACCTGTCCTCCGTCTGCACCTTGTTGTAGAAAGTATTTCCAGAGGCGACAGCGAGCTTGCGTGCCGAGCTGGGACTTCTTGCTTTGCGCCTTGCTTTGCGGTACCTAGGAGCTTCTCTCAAAGCGCAATCATGGACAGCGCCAAAGTAGTCCAGTACGTCGAACAGGTAAACACCTCAGGACCGCATTACAGGGCGACCTGCTCGAGAGTTTGGTACTTGAACCTCATGTCGAAGTAGCTTTGAGCAGACTCTTATCTCGCCCTGAAAGTTGCTACACTCCACGATAAGCTGAGTCATCCGAGGACTGCACCAATGATCCTCGGCCATCGATCGCCAGTTGAGCTGCCCTGCATAAACGATTTCGTGAAAGTGTTTCCCCTACAGGCCTTGCATTTCCAGACTACTCAATGCCAAAACAAGAAAGCAACGGGACCACACAAAGAGAGACACCCCAAGTTTCCCATTCCATACAAGCTCCCCTCTGCCCTGGACCGGCAAAGTGCTTCGAATCCGTCCTCGGCGCATTCCCAGTCGTCACGCGTTTCAAACTTTCTTTCCAGGCTGCACGGTGTATCGAGCTTTCTACACGGAAGAGCAAGAGAGGGCGGCCGGCGTTGTGGCAATCCACGTGGAGCCTTGCCCAGAGGACACGCAACCCGTGCATCGTATCATGACTCTTCTGCAAGTAAGATCGCATCAAAAGGGCGCGTGTTTCACGGAAAAGAACGGTCGTTGCAGGCTTTTGTGACATGAGAAAGCAGCAAACGGGGCTCTCAAAAGACAATTGGTCCGTCCAACGATTACGAAGGAAAAGCTTCTGGGTGGCCGGTAGTATTTTGCAGACGGTTCCGGCATGCCACTGATGTCGTTTGACTGCTCTGCTCCGTGCGTCCATGTACCCAAGATGTCGTTTAACCTGTCTTTTGAATCGACGTCAAGTCTGCTTTTGTCGCTATCCCTCTTCAAGAGTTGTTGGTCCCTGATTGCAGGAGCTAGGACCGCGCCCCCTCTTTTTGCTGCTGCGAATGCGGAGGACCGCGGGCTCCATCGACGATCTGCTGGCCCCCTCTCGGGCCACCATGCTGGCGGCCTTCGACGCACTGAACGACCCCAAAAAGTAGGCCCATCGTCGCAGGTTATTTCGAAGTCGTGGGCAGAAGAATTTTCAACGATGCCTCGTCCAGCCTGCGTATTGCTGCCCAACTCGGTCAGGCAGACAGCCTTCGAAAAGGCAATAAGCCTTTTCGCACGTATGCCTTTTCATTTTCAGAGATGGTCAACAGAAGCCAATGAACGTTGTCTTCGTCATTAAACGGAAGCTTTAAGCCGTACTGCTCGCGAACCTCCGCCGGCGTCGCAAAGTCCGCCACGTGGCCTCGTCCTACTTGTCCTGCTGCAGCCGGCTCACCGTCGGCGCCCGCGCCTTGACGAAGCACGCCCACCGGTGCAGCCACAACTGGTGGGGCGTGCCCACCGGCTCAGGTCAGCTACCTTTACTTTTCTCAGAGTCTGATCGTCGATAACTAAAAACGCAGTTTTGAAAAAGGCAGAGTGGATTGTGTGTGTCAGCCGAAATGATGCAGGCGGGTGCTTCGAAAAACCGTGTTCTTTTCAACAGGGTGTGCCACACAAGTTGTAGTTGGTGAGCCCTACTGATCATTCGATTGCACCATTCGGATATTGCTGATTCGAAACCAAACCCCTTTGAAAACAGCGGCTCATCATGCGGACGGTTTGCTTGGTCAACAGTCCTGACTTTGGAGGAGCAAGCAACTTCAAATCTGCCAGCATTACCTTTTAGCCCATGATGACTCGACGACCAACCTGACGTTCCCTTCGTCTGCGCTGCAGAGCAAGCCAAAAACGAGCACGCGCGAGCAGTCGTTCTGCGGATCCTGGACGGCGCGGTGTGGCAGAACGCGCACCTTTTACCGCACGACGTGGCCGTCTTCGAAGCCCGCGTGGCAGAGGGGTACGGCGCGCGCTGGTCGGCCGACGGAACACAGGCACGTGCCGCGCAAACCTCTCAATGCTAGCTCTGCACTTTTCGACACAGCCGGCCGCTCCATGGCATTTCCTCTTCCTCGTATGTTGTCCTCTTATAGTGGCTGGCCAGTAGCCTTCCTTTTAGAGGTGCTTCGAGCGGGAAGCGATTCTGAGACGACTAGAAATGTGAACTTGTGAAGTGAGTCAAATTTCGCCTGCTTCTAGCGTAGGCAGTTCTTATGTAGCTGACGAACTGCTCTTACAACGGTGCAGACTACCAGGACCTTTGATTTAAGCGGCGCAGAAAATGGAAGGTCGGAAGCCCTCTTAACCCTGTCTATCGTTTGTGGCTCATCGGCGAGCAAACGAAGAGATGAAGCGAAGTTCGAATGTTTCTCTTCCCCCAGTTCCGAGGCTTTCTGGAGCCGCAGATGGAAGGCGGCCACCAGCGAGGATGGCGGCACTAAAGAAGCTTCCCTGGTCGCAGCCGGGGTCGAGCACTTTGACTGGCCAACGTTTGAAGACTCTCGGAGTCAGACTCAGTGCATCGTTAGCAGTTCACATTCAAGGCACGCTTCTGAAAATTCAAGAGATCATCGATCTGGCAGCGTAGCAGTGCCCCTCGATCCGAGGAATTCATCACAGAATTGTTGTGACACGGAACAGTCTTGTTCCTCGGTGTAGATTATACAGACGCTGAAGAAACAGGAAACGAATTGAACACCAGACTCATTGACAAGATGAGAGCTTAGCGAAACTTAGTCTCAGGTCTACGTAGCCGCAGAATCTTGCTCCTTGAAAGAGTGATGTCAAAGCTAGCTTGGGTCACAGTGTAGGGCGCGGCTTTGCTGACAACGTGCATTAGTTTCAGGCACGCAGTGGAGACGGCGCACACTGTGTCGCCGAGGACCAAGACTGGAGTGTCATCTGACACACTGTGTCAGAAAGGCGCAGTCCGGCAGCATTACACGGAGATAGCGTGCATGCGAAATAGTTGCCTAACTGCTCGAGAAGTCGCCTATCAGCCCTTTGCAGCATGCGGGCATATGAATCAGAAGGTATCGCCAGGCATGGTTTTCGAGTCTCCGTACTTGGGCTTATATAACCGATTGGATTCGCAGTGATGTGCCCGCACCATTGTAACTGCACATGTGCTACGTGTTGTACGTTTGAACAGACGGTGACCATTTTGAGAATTTGCACAATCCTAATCAAGCATGACTGACGGTACGTGCAGCCAGGCAACCAGTCTTTCGGATTGGATGTCGCCAATTGCTATAGATACGACGTACACGGCCTCCTTATATACCGGCCGGCCCACGTGTCCCGGTTTATATGTTCGATGTTATATATGCAGGCGCCTCGATTGATGAAGATTCTTGTCGGTCAATGGCATACCGAGGAAATACCTAATACGACTGGTCTGGCGGATGTACATCATTAACCCCTCAAGGTTCCGCTCGCTTTTGCAGATTCGAATAGTAGCTCGACACAGTGCATTCAGCCGCCCACTGAACGTTGCGCAGTGCTAGTGAGCAGATCTAGCAGTCTCGAGGGGCCCTGTCCCCAGGCGACTTGTAGACAGTGCTCGGCATGTGACGCTTTGCAAGCCGAAGCTACTCTAGGCCGCGGTTGGCGAAGGGCAACGGGATGGCCTCAGCTTCTTTGTAGTAGTCGTCGAGCGCGTAATACTCCCGCTCCTTGGGCAGGAAAACGTGGATCACAACATCCCCTGCAATAAGTCAAGAATCTTTTTGAAGTTGCTGTTGGCCAAAGTACAGAGCTCCCTATTGTAAGAAACGGCCGCCTGCTCAAGCAAGCAACTGTGAACCAGAAAAGCAGGCGCGCCAGGCAGTGCTTATAGATTGCTGATGACGAACCGGACCACTTAACTGCACACGCTCCAGGACGAGGGTGAAGGGGCAACTCACCAAAGTCTACAACCGTCCAACTCTTGGGAGTGCCGTCGTCAACGTCATTCTCCGGCGTCCGCTGGAACTTTTCAAGAGCTGCCTCTCTGATTCGGCTCCTGCATACAGCATTTCAGATGTCAGGAGAAAACGCATGGTGTGAAGGGCACGGAGGCTCTCACGTCACATACCGGCCGTCATCGTTTTGAGGTCGATGGGGGCTGCTTTAGCCAAAGCCAGAGAACAGAAGGTCTGCTTTAAAACGGCGGGCAAGTCTGAAAGGACTGAAACCGGCGGAGAATCGTTTCAGACACTTTGATTGGCAGTCCAAAAAAGTGGATAAGATTGAACCAAAGATACGCCAAAACTTCGCCAGAACCCCCAAAGTATTGGTGGTTTACTGTCCAAAGATTGTTAAGGGACACTCAACAAAGAAAGTGGTAGCCCACAAAGTACTTCAAGTATGCCTGGTGACTACGTGACGAGGTCAATGCTTACGACTAACATACTTTTACATCGACTTGACATCGGAAAAGTCAATGAACTCTCCTTCAAATTACAATGAATCGACTCACATGATAAGAGACAGTGCCCGCGACCAAGATCGCCCATGACAAAGAAAGCTGCGCACTGAAGCCTTACCCAATTGCGTTCACTTGCGGCCTGGAAAACGCAGTCACAAGAACCATGACTCGGGTCCAGTAGACAAAGGGCGCAACATGAAGAACTTGGACGTCCGCTGCCTTTGTCAGGTCCGCAATTTCAGCCATAGCTACTGCGACTGCGGGAGTGGAATAAGACAACTCATTGAGAACGGCCTGCTCGCTGATATTTTCGAACTGCATCCAATGGCCTCAGAATAGAGGGGGCAACCTGTGCTTTCAATCATGAGTGAATGAGTAACAGTTGCCGGTGCTGGCAAGGATATGTCGTCACAGAAACGTCCTTCCTGAAACCCAGCAGATCCAAAACGAACGTTCGCAGCAGTCGTAGCAGTCGTGGCTTGAGCGATTCTTTGAAGTGCTGGAATGGTAGGACAGGTGACCCTTTCGGCCCAGAGTGTGGGCGCGTAGAATGCGGTTGGGAAAGCATTTTGCACACCTTCCTAATTATCGCACATGGTGGCGCTTCAACAGGGTCCCTGTGCGCTTAAGATACCATGTGCCAAAAGGCTCTGTGAAGGTGGCAACAACCAAATTTGAAAACAACTGATTGCAGAAAGAACCACAAGACATGTCCTGACCAGACTCACACTGTTTGCTGTCAGTATCGTCCAAGTCCTCAAGCGCCATCACGTCAGGGTTGCTAACGACCATCTCCCCAAACTTGTCCCACAAACCCTGCAACTCTGATTCTTCCATATGGTCCCACTCAACGGTACTGTCTTGTTCCACTGCATCTTTCCTCGTTCCCCTGAGGGCACGACAGCAAACGGACCCTCGGAGAGTGGTAAAAGGTTGCGGTCGTGCCTGCAAGTCGTTCAAGTCATTTCCGCTAGCTACTCTATTTCTATGTAGTGATGGTTCGCTACTCTGTGGAGGCAATGTGGCTGATGTGAAGGGCCCTGAGACGGGCCAATTCGACGGCCCCGCTTGAGGTTGATGATGAGAAGATGCTAGACAGCAGGATGGGCTGGTGGAGCAAACGCGTAAAGCAGCAGCAGAAGCCATGGCGACAGACTTGGTTTCGAATTGCCCACCTGCTATTCCTGAATGGCCAAAGCCCTTCCCTACGCCACTTCCATATCAGTATTAATGCCGTGACGGCGTCAGTGATCCTGTGAACAGAGAAGCTTGCTCAGACGCGTCACAGACTCTCGCAATGTTGCTCAAGCTAGAGTAGGTAGATCACCTCGGGAATGGTGAAGAAAGTGTTAACGCCGATAACGGGGTGCGGTGAAATCGAAGAAGCAATTGTTCCGATCTCGTTGCGCGGCCGCCGTCAACGGCAGGCGGCCGCGGACTCTCAGGGGGAGTGCTTAAATATCAACGGTTGGTACCGGGCGTGCCGCTGCTGCCAATTGTTGGATGGCGCGTGCGACATCTGGCAGAATGGTTGCCAACTGGCAGCTCACGCCTGTGAAAGACTGACACGCAATCACGGCAGGTTCAGTTGGAAACTAGGTACGAACTGGACTCACTCAGCCATGTTTCTCGCTTGGAGCTTGGGGACCGTTGTTCGATGTTGCCGCTAGCTCCGCCCCAATGCCAGAACAAAAGCTTCTTCCTCCCATTCATTGCCCATTCATTCCGACAGCTTTGCAAGCATAATCTCTACGCACTATCCTTCCATTGCACCTCCTTCAACACTCTGATTTTACCTTCTGCAAAGCAATCCAAAAATCTTCCAACATGACGCTTGGTCACCACAACACGAACCCCATGGCCAGCACTGGTCTGATGGGTCACGGCCACCACACCACAGGGACAGGACTGACTGGCACGGGCACAGGCGTAACTGGACACCATCATCACGGAACTGGGGCCCTGGGAACGGGCACTACAGGGACGGCGGGAGTCGCTGCCACTGATTCAGGAGCACACGCCTCGGTGAGTTGTCCGAGGTTAATTGCAGCCCTTTGCTGAGATTGAGGGGGTGAGCTTCGGAAAAAGGACAGAAGTTGGACTGCATTTGGTAGAATTGGTGAGCAGCTTTAAGATCTCATCAATCAGGCTTGGGGGGGAAGTTCTAGGTAGGTTCATTGTAGAAGTCGCACAGAATCAAAGAGTACTTGGGGGGAAGCCTAGGTAGGGTTCAATTAGAAGTCACACAAGTTAACCAATCGCCATTGTTCACAACACTGAATTGCCATTGAGGTGTCCTTTCATTTCGTCTTTCTGTCCTCAAGCGACGATGTTTGCCTGCTTCATTTCAATCTTGGGGCATTGCTGGAACATCAGCAATGCCGGATCAACTTGTACACTATTCGAAGTCAGAACCATTTTACCCCCCCTAGTCTTTGTTCATGCCGTCTTTGAAAGCTCAAATGCATGCACTTTTTTGGTAAAATCACAATGGGGTAGCTTTCATCTTATAGATGCCTTTGGACCTACTCTCAGGAAACTCTGTCAACATACACACGGCACTGGACAAACTTCATCTGCAATCCCCTCACTTTTTCTTTCTAATATTTAGGCTGGTGCGAGCAACATGAAAGCCACTTTCAAGGAGAAGGTGGCCCATGTTAAGGCCGATGTTGTGGAGGCAGGCCAGAAGCTGACTCATCCCACCAACCCCGCATACAAGATGGCAGCCACTCAGGAGGTGAGTACTGCGTGATTTCCTGCCTTGCTTAACTAATGTTTGGAGGAGGCTTGGCTTTGCACAGACTCGAATTATGCAGTGACCACGGCTGTCTTCTCTACTTAGCGAAAACTACTTCATCCGACTTATCAGAACAATGTTCCACAGAAGGCATCAAGTCATTTTTGTAATCCAATGTCACTGAATGATAGTTGTACTTCGAATTGAAAAAAGTTGTAAATCAAGCATGACAACTGTAGTGTGGATTCCTCACAATCTTCCAAACTCAACTTACTCTTCTTTCACCTCACGATCTTGATGCCCCACTCCTTACCATAAAGATGCAATAAGTTTTATCTCGAAAATGGTGTTTGAACAGATTTCGTTCAGATAAACAAACGCTCAAGGTTGGAAGCTGACTACTTCTAATTTCTTGCAGTCTGAAACCAAGAAGGCAGCAGCTACTGAGAGGAAGTTCCAAGAGCAAGCCCTGGCTGGTGCCAATGAGCACGGAAAGATGGCAAATGCTCGTCAGGGAGTGGCAAATGCTATGCACGGACACATGGGACACACGCACAACACGACATACAACACGAACACATACTAAGATTGAGGTTGCGGGTGAAAACTCATGTGGTAGAGCCTTAGCCAACTTGAATTTAAGATATTAATCTCATTCTAACCTCGTGGAGTATGACGAAGGGGAAATGGCAAAAGGGATCGAAACTATGACCACGTTGCAGTATAAATAAGTTAATGTGAAGCTATAGTCAAATTGAAACTGGTTGTATTATAGATATGATGACGGATATGTGCTAGGTCAGTAGGGTCACTTAAGATTTTGGCAGTTCGGGAAAACTGCAGCAATTGAGATATAGAATGTCAGAACTTGTGACACTTGTAACTGTTGACTTGTGCCTTGCATGTTTCCTAAGCTTGGAACTTGTAATACATTCTCCTGACTTAAAACATTCACCTCATGGCTGAACGCATATAAACAATCAATCATAACCGCATTGTGAAATGTAGCATTCTTTGTGCAAGTACCGAGATTATGTAGTAATACGTCACACGGATCGTCATACCGGGCCACACGCGCTAGAGAATCACAATGCATCGTCCGACATGCTTACTTCAAGCAACCTGGAAACATGTGCCTGAACTCAGAGTTTCCGACAATCAACTATCAATGTTGTGCAGCCTGGGCTCAAGGACATATCAAGGTCAAGCCCCCCCCGCCATTTATTCCATTAGCATTTAATCCGCACGAACAAGGTACACGCCCACCGTCGTTTAAGGCCAAAGTTATACATGGCGGCATATGTACCTACAAAGTTGCTTTCGCAAAGTGGTCCAAGTCCGGAAATTGAGTTTAGGATCGTGTCCTCGATTCGGAGGAATTGGCAATGCTGGACCTTGACATCGAAGCTTCCCAGGCGTTCATTCAAACAGTTTGCATAGAGTCCGACGAGTGCACCGAGGGGTTGGATTGACCATAACCTCTAAAAGTACCTTGGGCCTGGACCAATTACATGCAACAGTACTGGCCCAAACAAAGATACTAATGTTCTTACAACTTGAAAGACTGCTTCTTCCCCTTTTGATCATCGGCATCCAGAGCTTTCCCCCTCTTCTGCCCTTTATTGGCGGCAGCTTCCTCCTGCGCTTCCTGGATGCGAGCGAACACCTGCAGACACGGGCATCATTTGCGGAGTGAGCTAACCATACCGTTGGCACATATGGTCCGATCTGGCGACTGAACTCACGTCTACAGCGGCAGAAACAGAAAAACAGACATGGCTGAAAACTCGGCTGGTGGCAGAAAGGGGGATGTCTGCTAACAATCTGGCAAAGTCCAAGGTTGAAATGCTCGATACAAAGACACGCTCTGATTTGCTCATGAGGCTTCAAAGGAACGCTTCAACGAATAGAAACAGACATCGCCACGAGGGTTTCCACAGACCTTCTCGTATAACAGAAACTTCATCTAGGACGACAAAGTACACACTCAAACGAGTGGAAACATTCCTACCTGCGCAGACTTGGTGAACGCGGGCTTCGCCTGGCCATCGTCCTTGTTTTTGGCCTTGGTCTTCCCGGGCTTGGTGGCAGTCTTGGCGGCAAAGGCGGCGGCGATCTCCGAGTTCGAAGCGCCACCAGCCTTGGCAGCGAGCTTGGTGCGCTTCGCCTTCTCGACTTCCGACATCTCGGCTGCACGGATTTGGACTTGAGTGTTAAACCAGTCTCTTCTGGCATCTCCAAGCTGGCCACTGAAGCTGCAGGTGCTTCGAAGTTTCTAAAAGGAGCTGAGAGCCGAATCCGTGCGGAGAAACCGGATCGGTGGCCGCATGAAACTTGGAGTAAGACGAAAAACGTGGCAGTTGCTCACTAAACTCTTCCGATTCGTGGGTTGCGAATGCTCTTGCCGTGACCTTCCTCTGGGCGAGCGAACTTCAGAACGCGGGCGCTTGAAATAAGCATAAAAGAAAAGCAAAACCTTTTGTCCTCTTGCAAGGCTTGTCGTCGTTGTCCACAACAGCAGAGCCCAGGAATTTCCGACACAAGGAAATTCCAGTTATCCGGGCACCATTTGTTGAGAGCATGACCATTTGAGGAATGCTTCAGAATGTTCGGTGCACGCTCCAGGGCAGCCGATGGGGCTGCCCGGCAGAGCGCACGCCGCAACGGATCAACCTAGTCTAGGCGGGTTTTAGCGCTGCATGGGCCACAGCAGGGGCGCACGAGTGACTCTAAGGAACACCGCCGAAGGTAGCAATTGGCCATCAACCGAGAAGTTAAAGAAAAAGAAAGAAACCACTGCAAGCTGGAAGCAATCAGCCGCCCAGTCCAAGGAAGGGAACGGCTAATTCCAGATTTCAAAGTTCAACGCGTGAAACCTCGGTCTTTCGAAATTGAACACGGTATACTTTCGTTTGGAAGACCTCTGGCGTACTGCTGGTCTCATGAGCAGCACTGATACGTTTAAATCAGAAACCGACTTGCCAAACTTCCAAGAGGTGAAACGATCCCAAAGGAACATCTGAGAAGATGGTCACAGTGCCAAACTCAACTCACCAAACGGCCTCGTACACGTCAGAGGCAAGGGACAAAAGCAGCGCAATCAATGCTCCTGTTTTGAATTTCAAGCCCTCTGCTGGCGGAGCGAGACTCCCTCTGAAGCTAACTAGCCGCCAAAACCATAAACACGTTCACCCCAGACAGTAAAAAAATATGCAAAAAACTCAAGCCTCCGAACTCCCATAAACCCCTTGCGCCTCACCCTTGCGCTTGCGCTTGCACTTCGCCCGCTTGCTTCGCCGCTCCTCCTGCGTGAGCTCCCCCTCCGCTTTGACCGCTCCCGCCGCCTTGCCGCGTACACCCGCCCGCCCGTCCCCGCCCGCAAACACCTCTTCCGGGGCCAGCAGGTTGGCGTCGCTCACTGCGAGCGGCGCAACTTCCTCCATGGCGAGAGCGGGGACGTCGGCGCGCACGCTCGCGTCCTCGATCACGGGCTTGGGCGCGAAGGTGAAGTGGGACAGCGCATCGAGCTTGAGGCACAGCGACTTGAACAGCATGGCGGCCTGGAAGAGAATCAGTATGCAGGGTTCGGGCTTCAAAGCCTGGAAGTGGACTGGTTCTAAGGACCCGAGACGAAGAAACGAGATGATGCCAAATCTGGGATGAAAGAGAGTTTTCAATGGCAATCTGCGAAGGTGGTTTGGAGACAGAAGAAGTAAAGACCAAAGCAATTTCCGCCATTTTCTTCAGAGCCGAGGGGCCCATTGAAGTGTTTTTGAAGAAAGCCGGAATGGTGTAAAGTAACAATGAGCGGGCAGATTGTGTTTGTTTGCCATGGTCAGCTGAGGCTACAGAGAGACGGCAGGGCTAATCCCATACTCAACGGATCAAGATGCCTTGTGGTTGGACATTTGCAGTGTTTCGCTCTGCTGTGCCCAAGAGGACAGGGAATAACTTGTCGGAAAAGGGCCAAGACTGCGCAATCATGGTGGTTGGGTGCTGAGCTTCAGTGCGGCATATCGAAAGAACATTACGATTGCGGCAGGGAGGTCATCATCTTCCTGAAAGACACGATACGTCTGTAGAATGCTTCAGTCCTTGCGTAAAGCTCACTTCTCTTTTCACCACGTCATCCCCGGTGGCAGCAGCGATGGCGTCAGGACCCGCAGTGGCCTTCACGTACTCTTCCTGCAAATTTGTAACATCGGAGCGTAAGATGACAGACAAAGAAGCCTCGCTTCCAAAGCCAGATGCAAGGAAAGGGGTTGCAAAGATTGTTTCTTAACCCTGTGTGTAGCTTTTTGCCCAGACCAATCAAGCAACTTTTGTGACTACCAATTTCAGCATTGCGCAATACATCAAAAGGCTTGCTCGCCACGATGAGACTGGCAAAGCGTGACCCACCTCATAAATCTCGGCGAGCCCCTTCTGGCTCTTAGAATCGTCGAGCTCCTCCCTCCTTCTCGGGGCGCCGGTGGCGGGCGCAGCCTTTCTCACCACGTCATCGAATTGCCCCTGCGCAGTACAAATGAAAACAAAGCGAAGTTGGACGCAGGGCTTCATTCACCAGGACAGACCAACTTCCGGGGCTGCGAAGACCTTCTAAGTCTTCCTGCGACCATTGCGCATAGCCCTCCCCTTCCAAAACGGGTGACAAGACTGGAGATCAACAAACGAGCAATCTGCTGGAATTTACCTGTGAGCTAGTGTGTCTGGACTCCGGGACGAATGGAGTTGTCTCCTCCAAAGAGGAACTTGCACACTTGCCGGCATGCTTAGCACCGGGTCGATGCTTGAACAAAGGCTACCCGCACATACCTCGATGATTCTCTTCTTGATGATGTCCTCCAGGCTTGCCGTCACCTCCTCGGTGATGACAGGCGCTGGCCGCTGTGCGTGCTCAAAGTCGAGGTCGACTTCCAATGCACTGTTGAGTGGACGCTTGCCAGCAGTGGCCTGTAAAAGAAGGGCCACTCAGCAGGGGGTATGACTCCACCCAGTCTTTTCCCTCCCAAAGCAGCAGCTAATACTAGGTTTACGAGGAAATGCAATTTGCAAAGAAAAGAACAATGATAACACAGATTGCGAGGGCTTGGCTATGTTTGAACTGTCAGTTGAAATGTGGGTGTAGAAGAAGTCCCAATGCAGGAATCACCAGCTGCGCCCTGCAGTCCGCTTCATTGGCACAGCGGAGGCGAAGGACCTTGAAGTCTGAGGAGCCAGGAAATGACCTTACCTCCCCCACCATAGTCCAGCTTTTCTCCTCCACGTTCGCCTTTTCTAGCTGCGCGATCCTTTCCCTGGTGCGCGCAAGCCGCCTCTCATGAGCCGAAAGACCCTGCACGATCCAAAAGCTGATCAAGAAACGTTTCAACGTCTACTGCTTTAACGTCCAAAGTTTGAAACAGGATGTTTTGAATTCTACCACATTGGACCCAACTCGTTCGACACTCGTCAACGCCAGGGTCCCAGATTTTCCATAGGGTGCTGGCAGATGCAAGGTCAGAAGAATCGAATGGGATACAAAGAATGAAGCCATGCTTGACCCATTTTAAAAGTGAAGAATTGGAAATGGACAGATTTTCTGATGCAAGTGTATCACCATGATCCAAGTGTCCTCAAAAGAGAGTGTCCTCTGAAAGCTCACTTCAGCACCACCCACTTCTAGTTCCTCATCTCCCTCCTCATCCTCCTCCAGTCCAGGCCCCTCGTCATCCATTCCATCGTCCAGCTCTTCATCATCGCTAAATGCCTCCCCGCCCCAGTCATCTTCCTCCCTTTTATCCCGCCTTTTCGACTCCTTCCTCCTACCACCGTCTCTCTTTCCATAGAACTCTTCGTACTTTATCCCCTCTTCCTCGGAGCCTTCATCGCCTTCGGCGTCCTCTTCCTCATCTTCTTGACCGTCATCTCTCTGCCCTCTCTCCTCTGCATCCTGCAGAAACTTTTCCATGTCCCCCAATGAGAGGAACTCATCCTCCACTGGCTGCTGCCCTTTCTTCCCCGACACACCCGCCTTGCCACCACTCTCCCGTCTATCATCCAAACCCTCTCCCTCTTCATCGTCCTCGAAATCTTCCTCATCGAAGTCGTCTGAATCAAACCTTGGCCCACCCTCTCCTCCGCTCTCTGAACCAGTACCCAGTTCCTCTTCCTCGTCCAAACCGTTACCCTCTGCCACCTCATCGCCAAGCTTTTCATCGGGCACGGATAGCAGCGCTTCCGTCCCCTCCCCCTCCGCCCTGCGCACCACCTTCCTGATCCTTTTTTTCAGCTTAGCCAGAACCGGCTGCGATTGCATCTCCAATTGCAACCATATTTGCTCCGCATCGAACCCCTCTGAGTGCAGCTCAGGCAATGCCACCTTTCCATTGAGCAAGCCATCCTTTGCTGACGTCAAGTAAGCTGCGGTGAAGTCAAAGAGGTCCTTGGCAGCGCTCCTGACAGTCGATGCAAGATCAGCAGACGGCGCAAGGAACGCCGTCGGCTCAAGCGTCTCTTGTCCAAGAGCGGCTACCGCTGTTGTCATGAGAGCCTTGCCACCCGGTGCTCCTGGGGCCATGACAGGCACCCCCATGGCCCACAGATTTTCTCTTGACAGTGCGCAAGGTTTTCTCTTGACAGTGCGCGCTTTGCTCCTCCCTGCCCTTTTCAGGCTTGACTCTGATCCGCCATGACTCGTATGACTAAGACTCTGAGTCTGAGGGCTAACCACAGTCTGAGTTGGCACAGGCTGAGACAAGTTGGCAGACGTCTCGCACTGTTGAGGTGGATCCAGGTGGATCCAAAAATGGAGCTTTCCCAGCGACAACGGCTGTACAATCGGTAACGGGGCTGTGGCGAGCGTGTAGCTGCTTGAGAAACGGCAGAACAAGCTGCCGGTCGAGAGGAGCGTCTCGAATACGACCCTGGCTTGCATTTTGCGCCCGACAAACTTCGCAGTTCACTTCGCCTTTACTCCAATGCAACTGTAAC